CCCCCCCCCCCCAAAAAAAAAAGCTAAACCAGCATTACTTACACAGAGTATCTTATATATACAATGTGATGAGGGAAGTAATTGGAGACTATTTTCTAACTGTGGGCCATAAAATAAAATTAGTAAATTTTTTTTAAAGACAAGCATCAGAAATTATGACTTCTGTTGTGTACACACAGGTGCTAGTGAACAGTGTGATGTTTCTGTCTTATTGAACATTCTAGAAGAAACTGAGAGCTGTGGTCTAAGACATTATTTAGGCCACCTTTTAAGGCTTGGCCTAATGATTCAGTTTTCATGCAAGAAAAATTCGAGAACGTTTTTTTTTGAAAGATGATGATGATGATGATAGGAGCCTCGTGATTGGGTTAAAGGTTATAATGGAAAATTTCAGTTTTGACTCAAGAAAAATTGTAATAGCTAACTGCTCTAGTTAGCTTCTCTACTGCTGTGATAAAAAACACTAACGAAAACCAACTTGGGGAGGAAAGGGTTTATTTGGTTTACAAGCACATTCCATCATCAAGGGACGCCAAGGCAGGAACTCAGGGCAGGAACCTAAAGCACAGACCATGGAAGATGCTGCTTACTGGTTTGCTCCTCTGGCTAGTGCTCAGTCTGCTTTCTTTCTTTTTTAAAAAAAAAATTAATTTCTTTAATTAATTAATTAATTTTTTTGGTGTTTTTGAAACAAAAAGGTCTCCTGTAGCCCCAGCTGGCCTGGAGCTCACTATGTAGACCAGACTGGCCTTGAACTGACAGAGATCTGCGTGCCTCGACTACAGTCATGCACCAGCACACCCGGCTCAATCTATTTTCTTATACAACACAACAACCCGCCCAGGAGTGGCACTGCCCACAGTGGACTTGGCCCTCCCACATCACTCAGCAATCAAGAGAATTCCCCATAGACATGGCCACAGACTAGTCAAATGGAAGCAATTCCCCCAATTGAGGCTCCCTCTTCCCAGGTGTGTCAAGTTGACAACTAAAGCTATCCAGCACACTTTAACATTTAGCAAGCATTATCACATATGCTCAGTTTTTTAAAATCATTTTTTTATCTTAATTCTTAAAGCATCTTTATGAAGTATTGTTAAAGTCACTCTACAAAAGAAAAATCAGGCCAAAGGGAATTCACTGATTTGCCAAACTTAGTCATGCAGTAAGTGATCTACCTCCACATAGCTCCAAAGCACTTATACTCTAAATATAAACAAAGGCACTGAGGCACGAAAGCATAACATTTTTGAAGAGCATGGAAGTTTTAGACCATCCTGGCATGTTAGGATTATGAGTGAAAGGCTAGAGAGAAAATGAAACAGACTTGAGTACAGGTTGTAATGGGTTTCTTCCACATGTCCTGGCAGTGCTTCCTGTAGGAACCCTTCTGCCCATCTGATTTCTGATGTAGTGCTGCTTCTTGGGCTTCAGGAAGCTCCTGGAGAACAGGCAGTGTTATCTTTATCTTCCTGAGTGCAGATGATCAGAACAGGTGATACAGATGAGAAATTTGAATTTTATCTTGTATTTAAAGTGGTGTTACGATAAAACCTGTGCTTCCAAAATAACGGCTTTATAACATGGTATTCATTGGTGAGTATATAATTAGGCATTACAATAAATTAATTCTGACACATAATTGATAAGAATTAGAATAAATGATAAAATGATTGATTGAGTAAGGTATTTAGGCTTTATCATATGTGTAAAAAAGAGGTACCATCAGAAACATGTCCATGTAGAAAACTAATCATAAAAAAGAGAGATAAGAAAAGGGGACTTGTTTGGCATAATAGGAATTTAACAGATGTAGGTTGAATGATTAACTGTTAACCTTTTATTGAATACTGACTTTGTACCAGAGGTTATACTAATACTTTAAGATATTATTATTTTTATTCTCATAATATCTTAAGCAGTATTATCATTTTTTATTTTATGTGTATGAGTGCTATATGCCTGCATGTACATCCATGTCACATAGTGCTGTGCTGTCCTGTGGAGGAGAGAAGAGGGCATCAGATCCCCTGGAACTGGAGTTATGGACAATTGTTGACTAACTTGGTGTTGAGATTTGAGTCCAGGTCTTCTGCAAGAGCAGTCAGTGCTCTTAACCACTGACCCATCTCTTTTTGCCCCCAGTATTACCATTCTATAGGTGAAGAAACTAAGGCCAAATGAATGAATGAATATTGCAGAATTTGTGAGAAATGTTGAAGTTCAGAATAGGATATGTACTGAACACATGACAAACTTGTTTAATTCCCACAAGTGTCTGTTTAAGTATAAAAGCAACTTATGGATTCCCGTGCTCTTTTGAATTATATTGTAAATTTGGAGGTACCAGTCTTTGTTTGAGTTAGACCTTTTGGTTTTCAACCCCTCCCAACATGTATGTATATATATACATACGTGTGTGTATACATGCATGTTCATGTGTGCACCTTTGTGGAGGCCAGAAATCAACACTGGGAGTCTTCCTCTATTGCTTTTCACCTTATTTTTTGAGACAGTCTTTCATTGAATCTGGAACTATCCAGTTGGCTAGGCTGGTCCGACAATAAGGTCCAGGATTCACTTTTATTTTTTCCAGTGCTGAGGGTAGATAAGTGCTGTGCCTAGCTTTTTACATCCTGGGCCAGACTCTGGGGATCCAGATTGAAGTGTTCATGGTTGCATAGCAAGTACTTTACCTACTGAGCCATCTCCCCAGATCTTATCAATTTTATAAAATAATCTCCTGCTGGTGTTTGTGATGTTATTGTTATTTTTTTCAAAACAAAAGAAAAAGCCTGCTCTTGCTCACATTGGTGAAGGCTTAAAAGAATGTTACAAACCAGTTTTCTCAGAAGTGATTTGATCACATGACATCATGTAAAACTCAAGAGCATTTGTCCCTGGAGATGGAATGATGATCCCTGTCACACCTCTTATAATCCAGCCTCACTAGTTGTCAGCATGTGCTCAAACTTGTTTTATTTGTAATTCAAGTTCCCCACATCCAAGACTTCATGTCTTTAATGTACCTTTAAGAGATGAGCTATTTCAAATTATGACATATTATCAAACCTTATAAATTACAAATTAATATTTTCCTAATGTGCAGTTTGATTACCCTAATTGTCTTATAAGGATCTTTTTATACTTTGTTTTATGATGCTGGGGATCAAACCTAGGACCTGGAATACTAGACTGTACCACTGTGCTACATCTCTTCCTAGTTTGTTAATTTGAGTGAGGTTCCAGGAATGATCTTTATACTGCCTTTGGTTGATAAGACATTTTAAGCTTCTGTCCTGTTTCTCCTTCCTTTCCTACCTCTGCATTTTTTGTTTGTTTGTTTTTAAAAAATCAGGTCATAAATAGTTAAACAATCCACTTTCTGATTGTCTTTTCATGGTGTTCCTTTATCTTTATTTCCTGAAAACTAAGAGTTAGTTCTACAGTCTTGATCAGATTAAGGTATGATATTTATTGTTTGACCATAACAGTTCATGGGTAGTGCTTTGTGCCTCTTACTGTATCATACAAGAAGGTGAGTATCTGACTATTTAAGGTGTTCAGATGATACCAGCATGGTTCTTTTCATTATAAAGTCTCATTGGTGTATTACACAGATTTTATACATCCCACTCATGGTCAAAATGTCTGGATCCGTTATTTAATGAGGGGTTTCAAAAGAATGTTTTAATTTTCTCATTCTTTCTATATTTATTAGATGGAATTATTTTAAGGAGAAAAATTTCCCTTCCTAGTTGTTAGGTTAAGGTAAAATTTACTTATATAGGAAATGCAATGTTGTGATACACTGTGGGGCATTGTTTCTACTCACCCCAGAATAGAAAGGGCAGTGACAGACCAAAAAAATAGTTCCACCGAAGACCAGGTTAGTAAACCATGAATTTATTGGATATCTTTACAGAAGCATGGGTGACTCAGGCAGTTGCATCCCTAAAAAGCCTACCCTGGCATAGTTGATGACTCAAGAAAGTGTACTGCTGGAGTCCCCTGCACAATTTGCAAGTAGCTATACCACAAAGAGTTATTACCTGGGTTCCTGCAATTGATGTTGTGCTAGTACACAATCATCACACAGAGGCCCATTACGTTTTGTAATTTCTTCTGAGTTTCCTGAGCCTCCGTGACTATCCTGCTTCCTCTAGGAGGGAGTGTTTCAGTCTGAGAAAATGACTACACACCATGCAGGATATATACTTGTTGATTCTTCTCCGTCCATACTCTTTTAACAGCCTCCAAAGATGACCTGTGAGGGCTGTGTATTTGTAATAATTTTGAACTCATGCATACTAATGTGAGTCATAGATTCTCATAGATTACTAATTTTTGGCTACTGAGAGAAAGGATAGTTTGGTAAGGGAGAGGCTAAGAAGGAAGGATAAAGCTAGAGTTTGAATTGAATGAGTTTGAGATGTGGAATATACCTAATCATAGTTATTGGTAATCTTCAGACCTGAAGATTAGATATTTACTATTTTATTGGTTCTATATTGTCTATTAGTATTAAATGGGAAGGTTGTGAGAGTTCCCAAAGTCAGGAAAAAAGGTAGCAGAGACAGGTATTATATGAAAGATAATTAATTTTAAATATAGATAAGAAGTTTAGAGCTTTCCCCCCTACACATTGATTTTCCTTATCCCCTTTTAGGAGCTTATTGCAGTGAACTAGAGATAAATGTATGTATGTATTCTGTTTTTATATTAGAGTCCTAAAAATAGCCTGAAGGAGAGGATTTACCTAGAAGAAACCCTGGAGAAAACTGAATCGATTCAGGACACTGTAAGTATGAAGTTCATGCAGTGATTGTTGTCTTTGCCTTCTCTTTTTCATTTTGTAACTTTTTAAAAAATATTTTAGTATTTTTATTTTATGTGTATGCGTGTATTGCTTGCATGTAGGTAAGTACACCTGTGTCGTGTCGTGCATTGCCCACGGAAGCAGAAGAGGCTGTTGGATCCCCTGGGACTGGAGTTACGGACAGTTGTTAGCTGCCATGTGGGTGCTGGGATTTGAACCCGGGTCTTCTGCAAGAACAGTGTTCCTAACCGCTGAGCCATCTCTCCAGCCCCCTCACTTTGTAACTTTTAAAAAATATTTTATTTATTTTTATTTTATGTGTATGAGTGTATTGCCTGCATGTCTGTAAGTGCCCCCGTGTTGTGCAATGCCCAGGGATGTCAGAAGAAGGCATCGAATTCCCCTGGAACTGGAGTTATGGATGGTGGTTAGCTGCCATGTGGGCTCTGGGAATCGAACCTGGGTCCTCTGTAAAAGCAGTCAGTGCTCTTAACCTCTGAGCCATCTCTCCAGCTCCACACTTTGTAACTTTTGATGATGGGGAGTAATTACATAATAACATCTGGAAGTGGGTAGTTAGGTTATCCTTTGGCTGCTTTCAGTAATGTTTTAAAATCTTTTGAGTATCAACTTAGAAGTGCAATTGCTGGATTTTACATACTCTCTAATAAGATGTAAAAATTTTATTTAGGGCTGGAGAGATAGCTCAGTGGTTAAGAGTATTTTCTGTTCATCAAGAAGGCCCAGGTTCAATTCTCAGCACCCACATAGTGGTTAACAACTGTCCTTAACTCCAGTTCCAGGGGATTCTTCACCACTTCTAGCCTCCATAACATTGCTTGCACATGATACACTTACATACATGTGGGCATAACACTCAACACATAAAATAAAAATAAATAGAAATGAATATTTTAAAATGTTTGTGCCATGGCATGCATATGGAGGTCAGAGGACATCTTTGTGGAGTTCGTTCTTCCTTCCATCTTTACATGGGTTCTACGGATTGAACTCGGGTAATCAGTCTTATATATAAATGCCTTTACTTACTGAGATATCTCACTAGTCCTGAATTTTACATATTATTAATTGAATGCTTTAGAATTCAGTTTTTATTTTTTAAATAGATTTATTTGAAATTTTATAGTAAAAGATTTAACAGAATTTTGTGATGTTACTGATTATTAGCAATATTTGAATAATCAAAGACATCAACTAAGTTACAAAATTAAAATTTGACCATCATTGCATATAAATTTCTATTGTTCACCTTATTTTTAAACATTACATTTTTGAGGTTAAGTAAAAACAGCAATTTTTAACAGTAGAGGCAGAATTGGGATGGGGCTATAAGTCATTGATCAAGCCCTAGCTGAACATGACCAAGGTCTGCGCTTTGATTCCCAGCAACATAAAAAGCAAAATAAAATAAGCCAATTTTATGTCCTTCTATGACAAGGATAAGTGATAAGATTCATATAACCAGAGGTGTGGTGAGCAAATATTGTTTACTTTTTTCAGGGAAATATTGACACCTCTCCCACCTCTGCTTCAGGAAACAATCAGTGCTCTTGTAGTCATTTTCTGTACTGCATTGATTTGCTACCTTGAAATTCTAAGAACCAATACTTTGAAAATAAAAAGGAAATTTAAAAAATTGCCACTGATGAAATGAGCTGTATATTTGTTTTGTTTTAAATAGGGTCTCACTCTGTAGCCCTGGCTGACCTGGAACTCACTATGTAGGTCAGACTACCCTCAAACTTGTGGCAATCTTCTGCTTCTGCCTCCCAAATGCTGGCGTTATACACACCCCCAAATGTTGGCTACCACACCCAGCAAACCACATTTTTTAATAGTTTTGTTTGGTTTTATTCTACCTCTGCTTTTGACCATCAGATAATTTTTCTATTGCTCTTCTCCTTAATAGGACACCCAAACACTTGTCGGGAGTCCCTCTACCCGTGTAGCACCACATATTATTGGAGCAGAGGATGATGATTTTGGTACGGAACATGAACAGGTAATGGTACTCTCTTTAAAAAAAAAAAAAAGTATTAACTTTCTAAGATGTCTGATTTTTTATAAAAATAAACATTTTTTAGAAGTTAAAATAACACTTCTAAGTATTTCAAGCTACATCCTGAAACCTAAGTATCCCTGGGTTGGTTGTTCATTTTAGCTTTGACCAATAGAAATTACTTTGCAGGCTGCAAGTGGTGGGTAATTCCATTTATATTTGAATATTTCATTTAATTTTGGGAGTGGAATGTTATTGAATATGATTAGTCTTTTTCAAAAACTTTATAAATCCCTATTATCCATTAATGGTAGGAATAGGACTAACTTGATTCTAGTTCTTTTATACTGTGGTCTTGCTAAATTCAATTATTTTTAGGGCCTTTTTATTATTAAAAAGATTTTTGAGGGGTTGGAGGGATGGCTCAGTAGTTGAGAGCACTGGCTGCTCTTTAAGAGGTCCCAGATTTGATTCCTAGCACCCACATGGCAGCTAATAACTGGCCATAACTCCAGTTCTAAGGAATTTCATGCCTTCTTCTGACCTCTGAGGGAATTCTGTGACATGGGTGAACTTATACACATGCAGGCAATACCCTCAAACACATAAAAATAAATGAAAATATTTTTGAGACAATGTTTCATGCAGCCCAAGCTGACTTCAAGCTCCCATGGTAGCTGAGAATGATTTTGAACTTCTTATCCTCCTTCCTCCATCTTTCAAGTCCTAGTTATTTTATTATAGGTGTACACTACCATGCACAACTTCTAGGATAGTTTAAACAGTTTGTGGAGCATCCAGGAGCCAAAAGAATCATGAGTTTGAAGCTTAAATGAGCTGGCTACATAGTGTGACCCTGTCTTAGTTTTTTTTTTTTAAAGTCTGAATTTTTCTACATAACATTCATATTGTCTCTTAAATTTTTTTTAAATTTATTTATTTTATATGTATGCATGTTTTGGCTTCATGTATGTAAGTGCATCTTTGTCATGCTTGCAGAGGACAGAAAAGGGTGTCAGATCCCATGAATCCACAGTTAATAGACAGTTGATACCAGCCATGTGGGTACTGGGAACCAAACCCAGGTCTCTGCAAAACCACTGAGTCATCTCTCCATCCCCCACATTGACTCTTAAGAGAACTTAATTTTTGTTTCATTCTTTTCAATCTATATTATCTTTTATTTCTTGTTCTTGCCTTTATTGTGCTGACTAGGACTTGTAGTATAAGGCCAAGTCAAGAGTTTTAAGGCATTCTTGCTTTATAAAGTTCTCCTCTGGGGGCTGGAGAGATGGCTCACCGGTTAAGAACACTGACTGTTCTTGCAGAAGACCCGGGTTCAAATCCCAGCACCCACATGGCAGCTAAAAACTGTCCGTAACTCCAGTTCCAGGGGATCCGACAGCTTCTTCTGTCCTCCGAGGGCATTGCACGATGCGGGTACACTTACCCACATGCAGGCAATACACACGTACACATAAAATAAAAATAATAAATAAAATATTTAAAGTTCTCCTCTTAGGAGAAAGCATTCAACCTTCATCCTTAAGCATGTTACAGAAAGGTATTTTTGTAAGTGTTCCTGATGAAGCTAGGTTTATTAAGCTAAAGAATATTCCTAACAGGGCTGGAGAGATGACTCAGTGGTTAAGAGCACTGGCTGTTGTTCTTCCAGAGGACTCCAGTTTGGTTCCCAGCACCCATATAGAGGCTAACAACTGTCCGTAACTCCAGTTCATTGAGATCCAACACCCTCTGCTGGCTTCCATGGGCAACAGGCACACAAAACATTTATGCACATGAAATAATAAATAAAATCTCTCTTTTTTTGAACTCTTTATTTTTGTTTTATGCATATGAGTGTCTTGCCTGCATGTTTGTGTGTAAGTTCATGCAGTGCCTGCAGTGGGTGGGAGAGGGTGTCATGTCCTTGGGAACTAGAGTTATGGATAGTTGTTAGCTTCCATGTGGGTGTTAGGAACTGAACCCAGGTCCTCAGCAAGAACAGTCAGTGCTCCTAATTGCTAAGCCATCTCTCTGGCCCCCAAATTAAAAAAACAAACAAAAAAACAATATTCCTAACATTTTGAGAGGTTGCTTTTTTTTTCTATTTAAAAAAAATCTTGACTAGATGTTGAATGACTTGAGATAACTGAATGATTTTTCTGAATCTTTTAATAAGGCAGATTACATTTATTAGTACGAACTGGGCTTGCATTACTAGAATGAATCCTAACCATTTTATTTTATTTTATTTTTTATTTAAACAGTTCATTTATTGTGTGTGTGTGTGCATGCACACACATGTGCTCATGCTAGTGTGTATATGTATGTGCATGAGTGTGTGCATGCCACTGCATGTATGTAGATCAAAGGATAACTTGTTGAGGGTTTGATTTTCTCCTTCCACCTTGTTTTGAAGCAGGGTCTCTCTTAGTGTTTGTGATGTTGTGCTGTGTGTGCAGTTTATGGCCAATTTTCCTGGTTCTGCCTCTCATCTGGCCATAGGAGTGCTGGAATTGCAGGTGCATGCTACCACATCTGGCTTTCTACATGGGTTCTGGTGGTGGAACTCAGTGATTATCAGCACATTGACCCACTAAGCCATCTGCCCTGTCCCTTAATTTTTGTTGTCGTTGTTGTTGGTTGTTTGTTCAAGACAAGCTCTCCCTGAAATCCCACCAGGCCTGTAACTTTCTATGTAGACCAGGCTGGCCCACATCAAGATCCCGCCTGCCTCTGCCTGTGTCCAGAGTGCTGTGATTAAAGGCATGTACTACCATGCTAGCCTATTTTCGTTTTTAAATTTTTTTTTTTTTTTTGACAGAGTTTCTCTGTGTCTTCCATGCTGGCCTGAAACCTGTAACATTTCTTCTGCTTTGCTCTCCTGAGTGCTGGGATTACATATATGAACCTCTGGCTTTCTTTTTTATATTGTTAGATTCTATATGCTTTTGTTTTACTGAAAAGTTTTGCATCAGTGTTCATAAGATGTATTGGTATATAGCTCTCTTTTTGTGGTATCTTTGTTTTGATAATTGAGGTAATGTGGCCTTTAGGATGATTGAGGAAGTGACTTCCTATTTTCTGGCAAATACCATGCAGGCAATACTTTAGTATTGTTTAGTTTTCTACTTTATCTAAATGCGAAAAATTATCTAGAAATTATAATGCTGGTTTACCTCATGTTTGTTACTGTTGCCTACACATTCACAGTACTTGGGGATTATACAACTATTCTAGGACTTGTCTTAAAATCACACAGCTCCAATTTCCACTGCCGTTTCTACAGTCAGCTCAAAGGAAAAGAAATAAACAAAGCAAAACAGCTGTTTCATTATTAAACAAAAATCCCTCCTACATTTTTATAAATAACATGGGGGGAGGGGGAGAGAGAGAGAGAGAGAGAGAGAGAGAGAGAGAGAGAGAGAGAGAGAGAATATGAATATACCCTTCAAAGCACCCTCCAGTTTTCTACTTCCTCCAACTAGGTCCCACTTCCTAAAGTTCCACCAGTTCTTAGCAGCACATCCGGTTGGGAACTAAGCCTTTATAAAACACCATGATCCTTTGAGGGGCATTCAAAATATAGGAGTTCAAAGTGAAATCTGGATAGCTATTGAATTGAACTTATACTGCATTTGGTATTTATATGTCAAAGTTACTGATGCATATTTATTTCTTCCTCCAGATCAATGGGCAGTGCAGCTGTTTCCAGAGCATTGAACTACTAAAGTCTCGCCCTGCCCACTTGGCTGTTTTTTTACACCATGTAGTTTCACAATTTGACCCTGCAACATTGGTAATATATTTTACAGTTTACTTGATTCAGCATCTCCCTATTGGAGAACTTTTCCTATGTATAAAATAAGTAGGTTTCTAAATGTATAAGGATAGATATGAAAGATACTTAAAATGTTATTATTGCTTTTTAAAATATATTTTGTTTCACTTTGTCTCCCATTTCTTTCTCCATGACAGCTCTGTTACCTCTATTCAGACCTGTATAAACAGACTAATTCCAAGGAAACTCGCCGTGTCTTCCTTGAGTTTCATCAGTTCTTCCTGGATCGATCTGCTGTAAGTTGCCAAATTCATACTGTAATTTTTCTTTTAGCACCTTCATTGCCTTTATTGACCTTTGATTTCTAATCTTCCCAACTATATTTATCATGTTTTTGAACATCTGTATTCTGTCTCAGCTCTTAACTACTCTTCACTGGCTTAAATTATGTAAATGCAGATCCTCATGCTTTTCTAAGGAGCACTTTTACGACTGATCCAAGCTTAATCCCCCCCCATCCCTCCCCCCCACGGCGCCTTTTTTTTCCAAATGGTTTCTGGCTGACCATGAGCTCTGTATATAGCTGAGGGTGACTTTGAACTCCTAATTTTCCTACCTCTGCCTTCTCAGTGCTGGGATTAAAGGCATTAAAAGATTAAAGGCTACCACACCTGATTTTAAGAGGTGCCAGAGTAACACCCATGGCCTCATGCATGCAGCATGCACTTTGTCAACTGAGCCACATGCCCAGCCCTTGCCATTTCACATTTGTAGTTCTCTTAGATGACTACTTCAGACCCTCTCCTAAAATCGCCATCATTTCCTTCCTGTCCTTTTCTCAGTTGAAGACCTTGCTGTTGTTTATTTTCTCTTTATTTACTTGTGTGGGTACCAGTGGAGGCCAGAAGAGGTGTCAGATCCCTTGGAACTAGAGTTACAGGCGATTGTGAGCAGCCCAACCTGGGTGCTAGGAACTGAACTTGAGTTCTCTGGAAGAACAAATAGTACTCTTAACTAGTGCCCCATCTCTCCAGCCCTGACCTTGCTGGTTTTCTGGAAAAATTTAAAGTATAGAGAAAGGAATTAATACCAGATAGATCACCTACCTTCATCATGTTGTGTACCCTGCCCTTTCTTTTGAACTTCAAACTAAGTCAAAACTTTGTATTTTGCTGCTTATGATCTATATCGATATTAAATTATAAGACTATATTAATGTGTTAATTTTTTTATATGGCATGTCATAATTATTTCATCTACAGCCATATATGCAAGTTTACATTCATTTATTTAGTGTGTGGTGCTGGGAATTAAATCCATGTCTTGTGTGTACATAGGCAAGCATTCGATTATTGAGCTATATCCCCACCCCCATATATAATATTTTTCTTTTTGAGACAAGGTCTCACTATGCAGCCCTAGCTGGCCTGGAACTGGCTATGTAGACCAGACTGGCCTCTTACTCACAGGGATCTGCCTGCCTCTGCCTCCTGAGTGCTGGAATTAGAGTCATGCACCACCATGCCCTGCCATACATATACTTTTTTTGCGCTTGTGCTAGAAATGTCTTTCTTTTCCTTTCTTTTCTGTTTGTTTCTTTTCCTTGAAAAAGTTCTCACTATGTAGCCCAGGCAGGGATTGTCCCATCTCTTGACTCCCAGGTGTTGGAATTATAGACATGCATTAACATGCCTTGTCTTTTTTTTTTTTTTTTTTTTTTTTTTGTCTTTTTGAGACAGGGTCTCCCTGTAGCCCCAGCTGTCCTGGAACTCACTATGTAGACCAGGCTGGCCTTGAGCTCACAAAGATCCACCTGCCTCTGCCTCCCAAGTGCTGGGATTAAAGGCATGCACGCCACCACGCCCAGCGTCATTTGTTTTTTTTTTAATATTTTATTTTTTAGTTACTTTTATGTGTTTGAGTGTATTGTCTGCATGTGTGTAAGTGCACCCATGTCATGCAATGTCCACGGAGGTCAGAAGAAAGTGTTGGATTCCCCTGGAACTAGAGTTACGGATGGTTGTTAGCTGCCATGTGTGCTGGGAATTGAACCCAGGTCTTCTGTAAGAGCAGCCAGTGCTCTTAACTGTTGAGCCGCCTCTCCAGCCCCAACATGCCTTGTCATTTCACCCTTGTAAATGAAAATAAGAGACTGGCAAGAACTCACTAGATAAAGTGCTTGCTATGAAAGCATGAGTGAGAGTACCCGAGTTGGATTTTGACACTCGTAAAAAGCCAAGCGTGGTTGCACACTGTTCTAGTTTGTTTTCAATTGCTGTGATAAAACATCCTGGCCAATAATGCCAACTTGGGGAGGAAAGGGTGTATTTGGCTTACATCTCCTAGGTCACAGTTCCATCACTGAAGGAGCACAAGGTAGGAACCCAGGGCAGGAACCTGGAGGCAGGAGCTGAAGCACAAGCAATGGAGGAATGCTGCTTACTGGCTTGCTCCCCTTACCCATGCTCAGCCTGATTTCTTCTACAAATACAGAACAACTTGCCCAGGGGTGGCAGTGCCCACAGTGCGCTGGGCCCATCTACGTCACTCAAAAATCAAGAAACTATCCCATAGACATGGCCACAGGCCAGTCCAGTGGAATAAATTCACCAATTGAGGCTTCCTCTTCCCAGGTGTGTCAAGTTGACAACTAAAGCTATCCAGCACATGATCATTTGTAATCCTAGTCCTGGAAGGACAGAAATGGAGATAGGATGATCCCAAGGGCTTCCTGGTCACCCAGTCCAGGGGAATCAGCAAGCACCAAGTTCAATGAAAGGCCCTCTCTCAAAAAATAAGGTAGAGAGTGATTGAGGGAGCCACCTCACATTGACCTCTGGCCTGCATGCATGGACAAGTACCCTCACATACATGTGCAATATACCACACATAAATAATGTAAAAGATCTTAAAATTTTTTTTGTAGTGACTTTAAATTTAAATTGTTGGGCTGGAGAGATGGCTCAGCAGTTAAGAACACTGATGGGTCTTGCAGAAGACCCGGGTTCGAATCCTAGTACCCACATGGCAGCTAACAACTGTCCGTAACTCCAGTTCCAGGGGATCCAACAGCCTCTTCTCTGCTGGCATTGCACAACATGGGTTCACTTACCTACATGTAGGCAGTACACAAAAATACATAAAATTAAAAAAAAATTTAGTTGTCAGATCTCTGTAGGAATTGTTGAAGTTCAGGAAGTAGATGACTTTAGGTACATAGGAGAGTAATAAGCATGGCAATATTTCCTTTGAATACAGAATAATACGATTTTCTGTCAAAATGTTAGGTGAAAACCAAAATCTACATTTTTATGGGAGGTATTCTAACTGGAAAGAAGTAAATTCTAAGCCCCTTTAGTTTTATAGCAGGAACTACGTGCTATAGTTACGTGACAGCCAGTTCTTTCTCATTGGGAGTATAACTACTGAGAGTTTTTAAATTTACATAAGAAAATAATTGAAAATAGCATTGTCTTCTAAATGAGAATTTAAAATTCAGACATGAAAGTCATTCTTAACACTAAGTCCATTTTCCTCTGTGATAATATGAGTAGTTTAGGTTTTACATGTATTAATTCTAATAACAAAAAACAATTGTATTGATCATTGTCAGTATATTCATGAAGAACAATACCTGATGAAAACAGTTTATTATGTTTAAACAGTAAAGTATTCCAGGGCTATGAAATTTAGATGAGAAAACAGGCTTGCACCGTAAAATGTGCTTGTAAGAATAGATTTCCAGGCCAAGCGTGGTGATGCATGCCTTTAATCTCAGCACTTTGGAGGCAGATGCAGGCAGATCTCTTTTAGTTCAAGGCCAGCCTGGTCTACATAGTGAGTTCCAGGCCAGCTGGGCCTATAGGGAGACCCTGTCTCAAAAAAGCCAATAAATAAATTAAAAAACAAAAAATAAGATTTCTAAGCTGTATCCTTTGGCTTTATGCAAGTTCTTATGTGTATCCCCAAAAGTCTCTAATGCTGTTCTAACTTTTGTTTTAGCACCTGAAAGTTTCCGTTCCTGATGAAATATCTGTAGATCTAGGTAAGTTTGGAGCACCAGGATCCAGAGAATTCCATTCCATAGAAATGAAGCTCACTTGGGTTTTGACATTTTATATATTAGACTGTTTTAATCACCTGAATCACAGCAGGAAGAGTCTGCATTACATTTAAGAAGAGTTGAAATCCGAATTCTAACATGAAATGCATCAACTAAACTAAATAATTTCTCTTTGGTGTATTCCAAATTAAATTTGTATGAAGTAGTGTTGGCTATATGTTTCATAGAACATATCTTTAGATCAAATAATTCCTTTTCTTTGTGCAGAAAAAAGAAGACCTGAGCTTATTCCTGAGGATCTGCATCGCCACTATATCCAAACTATGCAAGAAAGAGTCCACCCAGAAGTTCAGAGGCACTTGGAGGATTTTCGGTAAGTTTGATGTTAGATAAAATTTGACATGCTCATCTGAGTTCTTTTATTTTTTAAATATAAAACAGTTATATATTAAATATTTCACTCATCGCTAGGTAAACCATATGTTCTTTTTTTTGCTGTTAAAAATAATGGGACAACAACATGTTGTGACACATGCCTTTAACCCCAGGTTTTGGGAAGCAGGGGCAGGAGGATCTTTGTGAGATCAAGGCCAACCTGATTTACCTAATGAGAGTTCCAGGCCAGCTACAGGGAGACTTGTGGGGGTCGGTGGAAGAGATCTGAAGTCAAAAAGGGTAAAGGGTTAGAGGAGAACTAACAGTCCATAGTCCCCATTCATGTACTTACAGGTTGTGATCTCAGTGCTGTCCTCTAAATATGTCCCTTTAAAAATGTGTCTTTTGGGGCTGGAGGGATGGATCAGTGGTTAAGAGCACTGACTACTCTTGCAGAAGGCCTGGATTTGATTCTCAGCACTCACATGTTAGCTAACAACTGTCTGAAACTCCAGTTCCAGGGGAATCTGATGCCCTCTTCTGACCTAATGGTTACTGCATGACACAGGTGTACTTACATACATGCAGGCAATACACTTGTACATATAAAATAAAAATAATAAAATTTTTAAAAATGTGTCTTTTGCCAGGTGTGATGGCGCATGCCTTTAAAATCCCAGCACTTGGGAGGCAGAGGCAGGTGGATCTCTGTGAGTTCAAGACCAGCCTGGTCTTCATAGTGAGTTCAAGGCCAGCCAGGGCTACATAGTGATACCCTGTCTCAAACAGTTTATCTCAAGCTCCCCACCCAAAAAGAAAAGAAAAGAAAAATGTTTTTTGCATTGATCCCCGCTAGAATTTTTTTTTCTCTAGTATCCCAAACTGATTAAGCCCCTAAGTAGAAAACTGTGATAGTTTCCCTGTTTCTGAAAACTTATACCTAAGAATGTCAAAACATTTAGAGGGAGATGGTTTGCCCTGTGCTATCTGGGATCCAAGGCATTGCACCACAGCACAATCTGAGATTGTTTTCCCTAATCCTTTTAGACAGAAACGTAGCATGGGACTGACATTGGCTGAAAGTGAGCTGACTAAACTTGATGCAGAGAGAGACAAGGACCGGGTAACTTTGGAGAAGGAGCGGGCATGTGCAGAACAGATTGTTACCAAAATTGAAGAAGTATTGTAAGTAATAGAGGTGCATGCAGAAATGCTAATTTTGCTTGAAGTACTACTTTGTACAAATTTAAAAGGCTGTATATTAGATTGTATATCTAGAGCTATTTATTTTGTCATAAAACTGAGGAAACTAGAACTTTTTCTTGATATTTAAAAGTTCTTGTCTTCCTTTTTCTGAAAGTTGGTAAATGAATAACTCCTGAATTACTTGTAATCAGTGATCAAAATCAGGTGAATACTTTCACTGGTTTCAATTTATAAGCTTTGGAAATACTTCTGTAAACTGCACAATTAACAGCATGACTGGGAAATGGTGTGGGTCCTTTGGGGATTAAAGTTCTTGTACTATTTTACTCTAAATGATAGATGAAACTATTTTAAAGCATTTAGTTCCAATATGTTTTTCAGGAATCTGAATTTCATAGCTAATCTTGAATAAACTTGTATGTGTCCTTTATATTTTTTCTGTTTTTATTTTTTGGTGGTACTGGGGATTTAACTCAGGGTCTTGTACCATGGTAGGCAAGCACTCTACCACTAAATTGTTTATCAGCTCCAAACTTACATATTTCATTTAAAAATATTTTCATTTTAGGATAACTGCTCAGGCTGTAGAAGAAGAAAAGAGGTAATGCAATGTGCCCCCCCACACACTAGAATTTTTTGAAAAACAAGTTAACTTTTCTCCTATCAGCTCTAAATGGCAATTTATTTCTTTTAATTTCAAATGTATACTATAAGCTCCCTCTAGTGGCCTGTATTTTATTTGACTAATATTCTCGTGTCCTGTGAATAGAATCCATTTCTATGTGCAGTGAATAGATAGTTCTTTATTTTTTTCACCTTGATTAGTTTCCAACATTAGTATTTGGGAAATTATTTGATGTCTTTATTCTCACCATCCTTCCCATCCTAGAACTCTTAGTTACTCAATCATTTCTCCTCAGTTCCACAATGCAGTATGTTATTCTCATGTATATGAAGCATTTGGGGGTAAAAGTGAAAGAACCTCGAAACTTGGAGCACAAGCGGGGTCGGATTGGATTCCTTCCAAAAATCAAGGTAAGACTGGAATAGTAACAGTGGACAGGTCTCAGTGCTTCTTCATATTGTCAGTATTTACCAAGCCAGCACAGTAGCACTTGGCATAATAGTATTAGATATGGTCTTTCTTGTCAAGAAACTGAAAATCCAGTGATAAATCTGCACATTAGAGCTTATTATTAGATAATATGAAAATAGTAATTTATGCATATCACCATCTACAACTCAGTGACTTTTGTTTTTGTGTGCCTGGCTCAGTTGGTAATTATTTGGCTGTATTTAATGTTTGTGAGATTCTAAAGTTATGAAGGTCAGGATGTTCCTCATTATTATGTCTTCAGTTTTTAGCATGTTACCTTCATATATTAAGAAAATATTGAATGAATGAGTGAATGATCTAGAACACTCTCTTGCAAATATGTAAAATTTTGTCAATAAACTTTTCAAAAAGTATTATTTCTGGACTGGAGAGATGGTTCAGCTGTTAAGAGCACTGGCTGCTCTTGCAGAGGACATGGGTTTGGTTCTTAGCACCTACATGACAACAAACAACTGTCCATAACTGCATTTCCAGGGGATCCTCCTCAGACAGTGCATACACAGGTACACTTACATACATTCAGGCAAAACACTCATACACACAAGAAAATAAAAAATAAATTCTAAATTTTGAAACAATGTTTATTGAATTTTTATGTATTTCATACAGAACTTCTTAATTATCTTTATACCCTCTTCCCCATTGGCACCTCCCATAGCCCCCCGACACACACATTCACACTGGAATTCATGCATTCTGTCATTTATGTTAACGTCTATGAGTCAAGTTAGTGTCACCAGAAGTCCCTCAGTGCAAGTTTATCCACTGAGGTTTAGTCAGTCTATCTAGAGTCCCTCCCTTTAAGAAGATCAGCATTCCCTCACTCAGCAGTAATTAGTTGCCAGTAGTTCTTCAACTAAGATTGGGGCCTGCTGCCCATTTCCACAGTTCTGTGTTGGGTTTTTGACTGCTTGAGTTTGCATGGGTCTTGTGCATGCTGTCACTGTTGCTGTAGGTTCATATGAGGAAGGTCCCAGGAGCCTGTAGGACTCTATTTCCATATGATCATGCACCTCCTCCCTGGCTCTTACAGTCTTTCCACCCCCTCTTCCACAGTGGTCCCCGAGCCCTGGGTGGGTGGAATTTAATATAGGAGTCCTGTCCAAGAACACACACTTTTAGACTCTTATTCCCTATGCTTTAGCCATTTGTGACCTTTTGTGTTCCTGACCCTCTGTTGCATGCTAGAGCTTCATTGATGAGGGCTGAGAGATGCGTTAGTGTTCTTCCTTCCCCTTGTTCTACGTTCTGTGAGTCTTGGGTGTAGAGGTTGCATCCTAGGTGTGCCACTTAGGCTTGGGCAGTTCATAATCTCTGAGTGTGACCAGTTGTGGAACTCTGTAATAATCCGTTGCAAAAGAAGCTTCTGTGATGAATGGTAACTGGGATACTTGTTTGTAAATATAAGGATCCATGTTTTGCACATAGTAAGATGTTACATTTGTCTAGGGATGTGACAGCCTTGGGTTTTTCTCTAAGATCTATGTTTATAGTACCACACATAAGTTTTCTCCCATTGAGTGGCCTTTAAGTTCAAATAGATAGCTGTTGATTACCCCCAAGATAAAAGTGCCACTACTGCACCAATGTCCTTTGCTGTGCTGGCCATTGATGTGGTTTTTAGACCTTGAAGCTGGGGTTGGATAATCAACTGATATTCTCCCTTAACAGCTTGGGTAGTGCTCTCCAAAACTATGAGAGCTAACTTTCAGGGAATATGGCTTCCAGGTCAGTTCCAGCTCCATTTCTCCAAATCCTGTGTCCAAAGTATACCCTGTCTTTAGCAATAGGGTCCTACCTTCAAGTTCTGGGAGACGTTCAAGGGGTGGACAGTAGCCTGTATAATTTTGGGAGTCTCTTGGACTACCCTTGTGAACAATTTGATGGGAGGTTTCTCCTGCCTGGCACTGTTTCTTGTTATGTAGCCTTCAGCTATATACGTGGACTCATGTAGAGATGTTGTATGTGTAATTTTTCAGTAGGTTTTTAGACTAATAAAGTTCCCTCTGTTTTTTTAGACTGGCTAGGCATTATTTATGTCTCCTTTCTCTCTCCCTGTCTAACTGCCCTAAAAAGTATCATTTCTATTGTAAAGACATCTTGAAAGCTGTGAGTGGTACAGGCCTATAATCCTAGAACTGCAAGGTGAGAGCAGGAGGATCAGTAATTCAAGGTTACCCTGGCTCTGTAGTAGATTTAAGGCCAGCTGGGACTACACATGATACTGTATCAAAAAAGGGCAGGGGGGAGGGGCTGGAGAGATGGCTCAGCAGGTTAAGAACACTGGCTATTCTAGCAGAAGACATGGGTTCAAATCCCAGCACCCACATGGCAGCTAACAACTGTCCATAACTGCAGTTCCAGGGGGATCTGACAACCTCTTCTGTCCTCCACTGGCATTGCACAACATGGGTGCACTTACCTACATACAGGCAATACACATATACACATAAAGATAAAAATAAAATTTTTAAAAATTTTTTAAAAATCAATAATAGCCAGGTGTGGTGGTGCACGCCTTTAATCCCAGCACTTGGGAGGCAGAATTTATATGTAGTAAATGTTTTTATGCTATTGTTACCTTAATATTGAAGTCTTTTCTGAGAGTTTTGTACAGTGAGTTCTGTGTGCTTTACAAATATTTGTTAAAAAATCAATAATAATAGGGACTAGAGAGATGATTCAGTAGTTAAGAGCGCTTGCTGCTTTTCCATATACTACCTACATCAGGCAGTTCACAACTATGTGTAACTCCAACTCCAAGGGATCTTACACTCTCTTCTGGTCTCTGCTGGCACTACATTTAGGTGCGCCCAGAGAGAGGCCTGTGGGAGGGCACACACATACACATAATTAAAAATAAAATTATTTTAAAAAATTTTTTTGGTTTGAAGTTCACAGTGGTTTGCCAACCTTCAGCGAGTGCTATGTATATGTGCACACATGTGCTTTCGTTTCTATTTAACTAATTTCTTTCAAATAACCATTACAATTGCATCGCTGCATTTGAAAACAATAAAAAACTTACCAGGTTTATCTTATCTCATTTTAATCATACCCCAACTTCAGCAAAGTATGAAGAAAGATAGAGAAGGCGATGAAAAAGGGAAGCGAAGAGGATTCCCAAGCATTCTGGGACCCCCACGGAGACCAAGCCGCCATGACAACAGTGCAAGTATGTTGAACTTAGAAATGTTGCTCCATTCCACCTTCACCTAGAAGCTTGTTTGGCTAGGATGAATTGTTAAGGAAACTGCTCTGGAGTGGATAGTGCTGAACCTCTAGTGTGCCTTGCTTCCTTCTCTCCATTCCTCTTTCTGAACTAAGTACCCCTGTGTTGCTATATAATTGTCATAAAATCTTTGTTAATGGCAGTGTTCTGTCACATGCCTTTCACTACCTCTGATTTCATATGTGTTGCTATTACTACCTCTGATTTTATAGGCATTAAAATTCTGTTTGCTAAATTTTATAAAGTGTTAGGCTGGGGTATAATTGGTAAACTTACTAGAGGATGTGAGTTCAATACCAGAACCCTCACTGAATGGGGAAAAAAGCCCAATATGGTGTTATGAAATTGGTTTTGTTTTGTTTTGTTTTGTGTTTGGTCTTTTTGAGACAGACTCTTCCTGTAGCCCCAGCTGTCCTGGAACTCACTATGTAGACCAGGCTGGCCTTGAACTCACAGAGATCCTCCTGCCTCTGCCTCTCAGTGCTAGGATTAAAGGAGTGTGTTTTGTCTTTTTGAGACAGGGTCTCCCTGTAGTCTCAGCTGTCCTGGAACTCCCTATGTAGACCAGACTGGCCCTGAACTCACAGAGATCCGCCTGCCTCTGCCTCCCAAGTGCTGGGACCACAGGTGTGTGCTACCACGCCCGGCCTGTGTCATGAAATTGTAATCCTAGGGCTGGGTGTGGTGGCACATGCCTTTAATCCCAGCACTGAGGAGGCAGAGGCAGGCGGGTCTCTGTGAGTTCAAGGCCAGTCTGGTCTACATAGTGAGTTCCAGGACAGCTGGAGCTAAATATAGGGAGACCCTGTCTCAAAAAGACCAAAGAAAAAAAAAGAAATTGTAATCCCAGTACTGGGGAGGCAGAAGCAGGTGAGCACCTAGCCTGCTAGTCTGGCCTACCTACTGCGTTCCAGGCTAACTAGAAACCCTACCTCAAAAAGCAAGGTGGGCGATGACTGAGGAATGGGAATAGCACCTAAGGTTGTCTTCTATCTTCTCTTCTGACCTCCACACATTCACACCTGCACACACATGAATGAACATAAACACAACCAAAAGTCGTCATAGATCTTTCCACCACACTTTGTTTAATCTCTTTGTATATATTGTCATGTTCTCTCTCCATGCTTCTACAATTTCCATCTGTGCTTTGTTTTCTGTTATCTTGCTACCTCTGCCCTCAGTGGGGAGAGATCAGCCCACTAAAAAGGCCTGTGGCAGAAGCAGAAATAGTGGTAATATGTCACGCTTCTCAGACGGTACCACACTTGCAAATATTGGTGTGCTGGGGTGAGAGTGTAGTGGAGGTGATGCTGTGCCCCCAACCCATGAGGAACCCTTATGCAGATGCCAGTAGTGCAGGTTGGGAAACTGAGACATGTAGAGGAAGAGAAAGGAAAGGAAATGGAGAATTCATGGTTTTTGGTTGACTGTGACTTCGTGGGATGCAGAAAGAGTTCAAGGGTTTGGAAGGCTGGGCTTACATTCAGGGTATACAGACCCATGTGAGGATATACTGGACTGCAGAGGGTGATCACTGGAGTGTCTGCAGCTTTATGTTTCTCAGCATTCTCTGTCTCTATTACCATTGCTCTCCTTTTCTCAACATTCCTTCCTCTTCTGCTTCATCCCTCTCATCTTCTTTTCTACCTTTTTTCCTTATCCTCTCTCCATCTCTTCTCTACCCCATTCTTTTCTCCCTCCTTCCCTTTTTTCTTCTCTCTCTTTCCCTTTGTGTCTATTCCTTGCTGAGTGTAATAATTGCAGACTTTTTTCAGATATTTTCATACCCCTTCCCTCCCCTAAAGCTGTTTTGCAACACAGACCACTAACCATTGCTTTCTTTTCAGTTGGCAGAGCCATGGAAATACAGAAGCTACGCCACCCAAAGCACTTATCCACACCCTCGTCTGTGAGTCCTGAGCCTCAGGACTCTGCTAAGTTGCGCCAGAGTGGGTTAGCAAATGAAGGAACAGACACTGCATGCCTGCCTGCCAGTTCCGTAGCCTCTGTCACTTCAGGGGCTGCTGTTTTCCAAGAAGGAGGGAAAGAGAATGATACGGGTGAGCAGTGCTGTAGTTCAGCTTAACTAGGTATCAAGATTTAAAAACAAGCACATGGACTGAACAATAGAGAAACAGATTATTTTAATTGACACTGAGTCCCAGTTTAATTTGATTTAATCATTTTGGTATTCTACAAACTTATGCTGAATGATAATTTGTTTTCCTACATCCAGAAATACTCACTGAGCTCTTAAGACATAAGCTTGGTGCTAGATGTCAGCATACATTAATTATACACAGATGTTTGCCCTTTGCAGCTTATTAGTTGCATAGGGAAATAGTCACACAAATTGAAAATTGACATTGTAGTCACTGGGTGTGGTGAATACACCTAGAATTACAGGCCTTAAGAGGCAGAAGCAGAAGGATTGCAAGTTCAAGGCCAATATAGGCTGCATAGCAAGGCCCTGCTCATGAACAAACACAACAACAGTAAAAAATTGAGATTGTACCAGTTGCAGGAAAGAAAGGTAAGAGGAAATGAGTAAACTGGCTAGTAATTATTGGCAGATAGGTGTTTTGTTTTTCATTCAGGCAAAGTTGGCATGTTAACAAAGCTGTTTTAATAGAGCCATAAGCATGAGGGTTAAGAAAGAAAGGTGCTCAGCAGAAAATCACATCGGCAAGCATGGATGTTAAATGATGGATGTGAAAGCATGGCTGTGGCTTCTCAAGAGTCACTGAAAGTAAGATATACTCTAGGGGTGGGTATGCTCTCCTCAAGGGACAGTCACCAGATAGGTTTTAATACTTAAAAATTTTAAATTTCATTTATTTTACTTATTTGTGTTGTAGAGTAGGCACATGCCACAGCACACATATGGAGATCAGATGACAACTTGGTGGAATTGGTTCTCTCCTTCCACCATGTGGGTCCCAGGGATCACATTCAGGTCGTCAGGCTTGGCAGCAAGCCCTTTTGCCCGCTATGCCATCTTGCTGGCCCCCAGATAAGTTTTAAGGAAGACTTTTTACAAATAGGAGACCCTGGAGGTTTTTTAAAATGTTAATGAGAACTCAGCAGAGAGAAGAGGTTGAATTGTGGAATAGAATTATTTCTTCACAGCAACAAAAATAGCCAAGTTAGCTATGCAGTTTTTTTATTCTTAAATATAAACATCATTACTCATTGTTAACAAAATTTACTGATTAGAGTCAAGAACTAAGATAATGGATGATGCCCGGTATATTAACTAGTGACATAAAGAGAGAATTTGAAGTAAATAGAAAAGCTACTATAGACATGGAAGATCATTTGATAATAGCTAAGGACTTTAAAAATTGTCTCTAAAGTAGGTAGTATACATGGGAACATTAAAGGAAAGGAAAACTAGGATCCTATGAAAAAGATCTCAAAAGTAAACTTAACTGTTAAATATAGTAAATAATCATTCTGCTGTTAATTGCCTTGTGATAAATTACTCCAAGCTTAATGGCCCAACATAAAAATACACCTCTTCTTGTGAGTGAAGAACTTAAAAGTAGCTTGGCTGGGTGGTTCTAACCTGGAGTCTCAGAGACTAGGAAACCTCCAACTCTGTGCCCACTCAGGTGGCCTCAGCTCCCTGCCAAAGAGCTGGTGGAGTGTTTCAGGATGTCATAGCTAATTTTCCTCAAAGTGATCCAAAGGAGGAGATAAGAAGAAAGCTTTACTGTCTTTTGTGATTTCATTTCTGCAGGTGCACAATCACCTCTGCAGTTTAGAAGCATGTCACTAAATCCAGCTCATTCTTCAGGAGAGAGGAATTAGGATCTACTCCTAAAGGAGGAGTGTCAAAAAATTTTATTAGCATATTCTTAAACCACTGCAGTTGTCGATATTTAAAGGGGCATGGGGAGGTCGGAAGAAGCCTTAAAAGTAAAGGAAACATTTTAGAATCTATGTAAGAAATGTTTTTTAATAATAGGAATTTGAGAGAAAAAGAATATATAGAAAATCACTACAGAGATCTAGCCTGTGTCTCTTTTAGGGAAAGTCAATAAAGTAGAGGTAGAAAAAATAGGAAAAGGTTTTCTAAAGTTGAAATAAACACATTTTTTTCAAAGAAGGGGTTCCCTGAGAACCAACCACTCTTAATATCACTCAATGATGAGGACATCCTAAAAAGTTTTAAGAGAAAGAAAATGAGGATCACATTGTTTTGCTTGTTTCCTCCTAACACTGGATGATGGAATGCAAAAGTGCAGGGCCTTCAGCTGTCTGGAAGAAGGTGGCTTTGCTTTCAGTTGTGCATTCTAAACTAGCTGCGAAATAGGAAGAATAAAGACATTTTTAAATAGCTAAGAATCTAAAACTTAACTCAGACACCCCCTCCTTAAACATTATTTGAGGCTGTATGTCTGCCAAATGAGAGAAAATTAAGAAAGAAGAGTCATGGGATCTAGAGAACAGCAGCAGGAGAGCATCAAAGGCAGTTGGTGGTATCATGGGCAGAGAGAGCTACAGCTCCAGATTGGAACTCAAGGAAATAAGGAATGAGAGGAGGGGTTTGTGATTGATGAGAAGATTTAGTCAAGTGTCTTTTGCAAAAGCATGTGGACCATCTGTAACTGCATTGCCTGGGGGAATGGGGTTGGGGGTGTAAGGGGTTCCTCAGAGCTCCCTGGCCAGTCATTCTAACTATAGATGATCTCTGGGCTCAGTGAGAGACCCTATCTCAAAAAATAAGGTGGAGAACAATCGAGGAAGACACTACATTGATCTTTGGCCTCTTACATATATACACACAAATACCCACACACACTACACACACAACAAAAGGGGATTTTTTAAAAAAATATAAGGTAGGAGAGAAAAAATTGAGACTTGCATTTGACAACAATAAAAGAAAGAAATTAGGAGTACTAAGAAAGAATTGTTCAAGAAGTAAGTCATGTTTGAAACATGAACCGTGCTGGGCATGGTTGCTACATGTATATAATTCCAGAACTTGGAACATGAGTTACAAGTTCTAGGCCAGCCTAGGCTACCTAGTGCGACCTATCTCAAAAACAGAATGAGGGCTGGCAAGATGGCTCAGCAGCTAAAGGTGTTTGCCATGAAGCTTGACCACCTGAGTTCAGTCCCTCAGACACGCTTGGCAGAAGGAGAGAACCAGCTCCTGTAAATTATCCCCTGATTCTGCATGTGCTTGTTTGATTGATGATAGATCGATGAAAAAACATTGTTTTAAATAAAACCAACATGAAACAAAATGAGTGAACTGATCTTAAAGCAGATGCTTGAGTACAAGTCTTCAGTATAAGAAGCATTCAATTTCAAATGGCCTAGGGGGCTGCATCATTGGAGCAGTAAGAAAGAGAATATTCAAACCAGCCCATGTCTATGGTTATGTGTTGTGGGTTCTGTATATGTCTCATCATACTAATGCATGTATGCTTTATGGGTCTTTCAGACTTCTGGGTACTAGGCAGAGTGCAAGTAGATATTTCATTGTGAGTACAGATCAAATATAAGAGAAATTAAAGAAAAAATGCAGTTAGGCACTAAATCCTTAGCCTGACTTATAGAAGAGAGTTGAAATACTCCTTGGTGGCCAGGTGTAGTGGTGCACAGCTTTAATCCCAGCAGAGGCAGGCAGAGACAGGCAAATCTCTGTGAGATTGAGGCCAGCCTGGTCTACATAGTGATTCTAGACCAGCTGGGGGCTACAGGGAGACCCTGTCTCAAAACAAAATAAAAAACTACTTGGAAGAGTAAAATGTAAATATCTTAAATGTTGGACAATGCCTAGTAGCTCATCTGGTGACAATATAATTATTAAACATTGGGAGGGAGCAGGCAGAACATGAAGGCAGGAAGTGTAAGTGAGCAGAGTCCTCAGAGAAGATAGAAATAGTGCCTAAAGAAATCAAGAAAAAGAGAAGTTATATGGAATTGGGCCACTGTAGCTATTGATTAGAAACATGAAAAGGGTGAGGCAGGAGGAGGTTGTTCCTAATCGTAGCTATTCTCAACTGAGGCGTTCCTTTGTCTTGCATTGGTTTTTGTGGGTTTTTTTAAATTTTTTAATTATGTTTTTACAATTTCACATATGTATGCCTGGCATACTGACCACTCTCACCTTCCACCTCCCTATCTCCACTGACCCCCTTCCTCATAAATCTTTCTCTTTCACATTCACGTCTAGTTGTTTTGTTTTGTGACTCACCAAGCTTAACTTACAGTCATTTGCGTGACCATAGATTTGGAGCTATCCGCTGGAGCCTGATAGGCTCAGTAGAGGGTATACGGAAGACAGTGATTCTCCTCCCTCTCTGAGAATCTGTGGATAGCCAATATCAGAGGTAAAGGGTGGGGTTCCACGAACCCCTCCGACTTCCTCAGCTGATAGTTAATAGAGCGGGTCTTATGTGGGCCACTACACAGATAGCTTCAATTCATATGAGTTAATGATTACAGTAGTTGTATCCAGTTTAGGGAAAGGTGTTTTGTAGCCCTTCACCCTATCTTCCAGCTTTTACATAATTCCTGTTCCCTCTTCCTACAATGCTCCCTGAGCCTTAGAGAGAATAAAAATTATTTATTATTAGTGTGCATATGTATGTGTATATGACTGTGTGAGCATTTGCATGCCACGGTGTGAGTAGATTAGAGAACAATGTTTGGAAATTGGCTTTCTCCTTCCATTGTAGGTTCCAAGGATGAAACTTGAGTCACTAGGCTTGTGTGGCAAGTACTTTTACTTGCTGAGCCATCTTGCCAGCTCTTACATTGATTTTTACGAGACTACTTTAAAAGTGATTTTCCTTTTAGTACATTGAAGAGTTTTATGTGTTAAACTTTTGGTTCTTGGTTCTAGCTAGCCTTTTTAAATAAGAATATGACTGTGGATTAGGTTGAAGTTCTGGGAATTAATTCGGTTTTTATTGTTTTTAAACAGTGACTTTATTGAGTATTAACACTCTTCAAATGTCTGGCTTTTGTCTTTTCAGGATCAAAACAAATTGGAGAAACACCAGCACCCGGAGACTGCCTGGACAGCACACCTCGTACTCCCAATACCATTTTTGATTTCCCGCCTCCTTCCTTAGATCAAGTACAGGAGGAGGAATGTGAAGTAGAGAGGTAATTCAGTGAGACCTGGAGAGATCTGGGCAGTGCTTAAAGTTCTTTGAAATAAATACTTCCTATACTTTTGCAACATTTTCTCCTATGTAGTTTTTTGAAAGAAATAAGTTTGGTTGGTAGTAAATATTAAATGGGTACTGAAATTTTCTTTCATTATTTAATGTTAATTTCTGAATTGTTTATCTAGCCATTGGAGTTTAACACTACTGGGGTATCTTTGTTATGTATTTCTTGACCATCCTTTTGCTTTCCTGTGATTCTTTATTCTTTGTTGTTTTAGGGCGACAGAACACGGAACACCAAAGCCCTTTAGAAAGTAAGTGAATCTTAACTAGCTTTATGTAAGTAGAGCTTTTTGTTTTAAAGGCAAAGACCCTGTATAAAACCTGTTAGTATAGAAGAAAACCTTTTGTAAACAAATCATTTGAAAGATAGATGTTAAGGCATATATAACATGAATAAACTGTTTTTAAGAGAGGAGATTGTTTTAGGCTCTATGCTAATTCAGATGCAGAATTCTTCCCGGTTTATACTAATATTAAGACTAATAGAGATGGGGAGATGGCTCAGTTGATAAAGCACTTGCCCACAAGGGTGAGGACCTGAGATCATATTCCCAGCACCAATGTAAAAAGTGAGGTGTAGTGGTGCACACCTGTGATCCCAGTGCTGGGGACGTACAGACAGGAAAATCTCTGGAGTTTACTGGCCAACCAGTCTAGCAGAAATAGTGAGCTCTCAGATCAGTGAGAGACCTGTCTCAAAACATAATCAAGAAAGACATCTGATAACAACCTCTGGCCTCCACATTATCTGCACATTTAAGAATGTGCATCCATACACACACGGGCATTTACACACATAAACACACAAAAGATTTGTATAGTCTCCCATTTATCCACCTGAAGTCCTCAAAGAGAATTCATCTTTTTTCTTCATCAGGTTTGACAGCATAGCCTTTGGAGAAAGTCAAAGCGAGGATGAGCAATTTGAAAATGACCTCGAGACAGATCCACCCAACTGGCAGCAGCTTGTTAGTAGAGAAGTGTTACTGGGACTAAAACCTTCTGAGATCAAAAGACAAGAAGTGATTAATGGTGAGTTTAATCAATTTGTTCATATACATTGAGTTTTATCAGAATAAAGCAAACCTCTCAGTCATGGGGTTTGCTTCATTATCTGATAGCCTTTTGTTTTAAACAAAAGTACAGCCAAACTAGATGGGTTATTATTGAGCCTTTAACTCAAACACTGCAAATGATTTTATGATTAAAGGGTATTTAGCCTTCAGGGTATTGAAGATCCATGGCACTTTACTTTGAGGTTATACTCTAGGCATAGATTGTAAAGAGTAAGCTGAACTTAGATTCATTGAGCTACAGGTGCCAGGTGATGAGAGCAAAACTAGGATTTGCCTTTCAGCTGTAGTATTCTTTAGTAACTGTCATAATTTTATTTCTGGTGCTATGGCAGATATCCTGACCAAAATTCCAGATAATAGTTCATCATTGAGGGGAAATAGAAGCAGGGACTCAAAACAGCTAGTCGTATCCCATCGATAGGAGTAGAGAGAAGTGAATACTCCTGTGCTGTCTACTTGCTCTCATCTAGCTTTGTCCTCTTCTGTATAGTTCAGGACCTCCTGCCCAGGGGACTAGTGCTACCCATGATGGACTGGGTCTTCCTACATCCATTAGCAAGACAGTCCCCCCGAGACATGCCACAGACCAACCTGATAAAGACAATTACTCAGTTGAGATGCTCTTCCCAGGGGGCAAGTTGACATTTAAAACTAACCATCACAGTTATCCTACCATGTACATAACAAGTATGTAACATGGATTCTATACCCTTTACTATCCCTATGACATGATTTGAAAAATATCCTATCTCTGACAATATTGAGATACAATGAAGTTATAGTGGCTCCAGAAATGGGGTTTTGTGGACAAATATCAGAGAACTAAATGCACTATTATTTCTGAAGCAGGCTCAAGGATACATGCTATTGGAGCTTACAGTGTTATATTATGATAAGTTCATATTGCAAATAGATGTGTGAGTTTGGAGGTAAACTGTTAATTAACCTTTAAATACAAAAGAGATTTCTTTTTTTTTGGATCTTTTTGAGACAGGGTCTCCCTGTAACAACAGCTGTCCTTGATTCACTATGGAGACCAGACTGGCTTCAAACTCACAGAGATCCGCCTGCCTCTGCCTCCCAAGTGCTGGGATTAAAGGTGTGCACTACCACGCCCAGTTAAATATCAAAGAGTTTTAAGAGTATTTTAGTTATGCTGGGTTAGTGGCGCACACCCTTAATCCCAGCACTTGGGAGGCAGGGACAGGTGGATCTCTGAGTTCAAGGCCAGCCTGGTCTGCATTGAGTTCCAGGCCAGCTGGGGCTGCAGGGAGACCCTGTCTCAAAAACAAAAGGAATATTTTATTTTGTTTTATTTTATGTATATGTATGTATTGCTTGTAGGTACATTGATGTCATGCTATGCCTGCAGAAGTCAGAGGAGAGCATTAGATCCCCTGGAATTGGAGTTATGGATGGTTGTTAGCTGCCATGTGGGTGCTGGGAACCAAACCCAGGCCCTCTTCAAGAGAAGCCAGTGCTCTTAACCACTGAGCCATCTATCTCTCTAGCTCTATAAATATAAAATAGTTTTGAATGACACTTTTCATATAGCAGTATTTGAGTCAGAGTCACTATGTAGGAGAATTTCATGGAATCAATGTGATTTCAGAAACAGTGCCATCCTTTCTAAATGCTAAATAATTTATTCATGATGCATTTGCTACCTAATTACAGTGAAAGACTGTGTTTGCTCCTATAGAATTAATCTGAATAGAACATTTCATTAACACCTCCCTCTCCTTGCCTAGAATTGTTCTACACTGAAAGAGCTCATGTTCGAACACTGAAGGTTCTTGACCAAGTATTCTATCAACGAGTATCCAGAGAAGGAATTCTGTCACCTTCAGAACTACGAAAGATTTTTTCAAACTTGGAAGATATTCTTCAACTTCATGGTAAGAGAAATTGACTTTGATCATTGTGTCTACATTTCTGATAGAGCAAAGACTATTGACTTAGGGTACCTCTATGATACCATTACAAACAATTTTATTAGCACATCCATCTTAGCTTTCCTGAAATTACATGTGAACCCATAAAGAAAGAAATGATTGGACCATTGACTCAGTCTTTCCCCCTATAATCACAAAGTGTTAACACTGAACTTTGTATCTAAAGTTAGTGAGTAGTCAAAATTATCCTTGAAAATTTCCTATCAATTACAGTCTGCATATAGTTTAAAAATATATATTTCAGGTAGTGATATACATGAAAATGTATTTTGTAAATAGTAATAGGCAATATATAATTTCATGGTGAGATAATTTTCAGAAATCATTCTGTTGCTTAGAATACATTTTATAAATACAGAAAAATTCTACCTCTGACTCTCCCTGGTTGGACTTTTGTAGATAGTTTTAAGACGTTCTTCTCTTCAAAGTCACTATTTCTCTATGACCCTTAAATTTTAGTCTTTCTTGGTCAAAGGAATCAATAACTTTGCCAACCAAATCAATGCCTTTTACAACTTTGTGGCTGATTTCAGGCTTCATCAGCATGCATTAATAACTTCAGGCCTAATTATCCACTGCCTGTGAAATTAACATTTTGAGAGTACTGAGTAGAATCACCTCCGTTCTTTCTGAGTGAGATTACAGATAGTTTTGAGGATAAATGCATATTTGATGCAACTGTACTACATGTAATACACTAGTTACTAAAATGATGTGTAATGCTTTAGGACCTGTTTTTCAAGTAGAACTCACAATTTATAGATACATAAGCATTGTATCCAGATTATATTTAAGTAGATTAAGAGCGGCAGTGCTATTCTGAAATTAAAAAAACAAAAACCCAAAAAACAAACTTAAGCTACTTTGTACTACCAGTAATTCAGATTACAATAAGTGAAATAAGTGTGGACTTAATTTTCTTTCTTTTTTTTCCCCCCTTTAGTTGGGTTGAATGAGCAAATGAAAGCTGTTCGAAAGAGGAATGAGACCTCTGTTATTGACCATATTGGGGAAGATTTGCTCATCTGGGTAAGGACATTTTCTTTTCTTTTAAATATTTTTATATCTATACTTAATCAGATTCAAGGATAAGTAATAAATGATTCCGAACTACAAACTCATCCATTTTGTAGAGTTGATGCAAAGCTTAGACGGGTCCATATTGTGCATTTTCTTGATTATGTTTTAATCACTGTGGGTGTGGTGTCACATTCCTTTAATCCCAGCACTTGGGAGGCAGAGGTAGATAGATCTCTATGAGATCAAGGCCACCCTTGTCTAGCCAGTTCCAGACCAGTTGGGGCTATCAGGAGACCCTGTCTCAAAAACAAAAAACTAAAACAAACAAAAAAGCCAAAAACAGCAAAGTTCTAATAAGTACCCAATCAGACAAAGTGCTTTACTTTGTTGGAATAAAGATGATGGTAGGGGCTGGAGAGAAGGCTTAGTGGTTAAGAGCACTGGTTGCTCTTACAAAGGACCTGGGTTGGATTCCAGCACCCACATGGTAGTTCCAGGGGCTCCAACTCCCTCTTCTGGCCTCTGCAGGCATTGCATGACATGGATGCACTTACATGCAGGTGATACACTTATACACATAAAATAAAATACACTCAAAATAAAAATAATAAAATAATTTTTTGAAAAGGAATAAAGAGTAAAATGGATCTTACTAATTAAAATGATGCACAGTTTTAGCTATTAGCTACCTCTGCACAAATCCTAAACATGTACTGTATAGTAGTAGACAATTACATATCATTAATGCCATCATACTAGCAAATATAGTGAAAGTAGCTTAATCTTGTTTATAATATAAAGGAAGAATCTAATAGCTATAGTAACTGTCAAATTCTGTCTTTTCTGCTGACTCTATCCATATATATATATATATATATGGGCAAGACTGCCTGGTGTTGAGATATAGTAGCAATCAAAACAGACAAAGTTCCTGCCTTTGTAGAGCTTATACTTAAGTGGGAAAATACTGTGTGGTGTTTCTGTTTTGTCTTGTCTTGTCCTGTCTTGTCCTGTCCTGTCCTGTCCTGTCCTGTCCTGTCCTGTCCTGTCCTGTCTGTCTTGTCTTATCCCACCTCGTGTCTCGTCTCATCTCGTCTTGTCTCGTCTTGTCTCGTTCACACTGTACAGTCTAGGCTGGTCTTGAGCTCTCAGAGATCTGCCTGCCTCTGTCTCCAGAGTGCTAGGATTAAAGGTATGTACCACCATGCCCAGCCAGTCAGTTGGTTTTTTTAACCCATGATAAGTATGACAAAAGGGATGAGCATAGGTTATTGTGGGACCTAAACTGAGACATAGTAAACTCTGAGGAAAATAACTGATCTAAGCTTTGCAAGAAAATAACAGCTAAGGCTGTGAATAGTCCTGATGTCTGTGGCTCACAATTTGAACAGAAGCTGAAGAGGAACATTTTAGGTATGCCTACAGAAGTTTACTTCATCATATTCACTACTTAGGAAATGCCAATTATATTTCACAATTACAACTTTTTAAACAATTGAAAATTAGAAATTTAACTGAGCAGTCTTAACCTTACTATTTTATTGGTGGTAAGATCACCACCCCAAATCCAGTAAGTTAACAGTAGATCTCTTTTTAAGCAGTTGGTTCAGAACCAGAGCAGGACATCTTAATCCAATCCCACCTTGATTTTAATGAACTTTTAGGCTGATTCTCACATTATTGTTTCTAAACACAAGTCAAGCACATTTCTGTTGGCTTTGGCTCATTGTTCAACTTGAAACAGAAAGGTTTTTTTGTTTTGTTTTTAAATATGACAGCATGGCATCAATTTTCTGTGCCAAACTTGGGTTAAAAGTTGAAAGACATACAGACTTAAGAAACTGCACCTTGATTCCTAAGCAGGTTCATTTGTGCATTTTAAAATTTATGTTACAAAGCATTACAGCATACAGAAATATCCAACAGTGAAAAACATAATTTAAAATTCCAATTTCTCACTAAGGTAACAGTCCCTCATGGAACCACATGTGGACACTGCCCATTTAAGGACTTCCTTTGCACTGAAAATGTGTTATATCTTGAGAGGGCATTCAAAGAACATAAACAATATAGATATAGATGAACTCATTATTATGCCTTTTTAATAATTACCCTTCTTTTCTCCTCTCTGAGCATTAGACTATACCAGCCACCTACATTTGTTTACATATATACATGTAGACCTTATAAGCTAGGATCCACATATGAGGAGAATGTGTATTGTTTTTTCTTTCTGAGATAGGGTGATTTCACTTAATAGTATACATTCTAAGTCCATCCATTTTCCTGTGGATTTTGTTATGTAGTTTTTATTTGTTTGTTTGTTTTTCCCTTTTGTTGTGAGGCAAGGTCTCAGTATGTAGCCCTAGTTGACCTAGAACTCAGAGATCTGCCTGCTTCTACTTTTGGATTAAAGGCATGCACCTCCACTCCTGACCTGATGTCATTTTTCTTTAGCGCTGAATAATATTCATTCATATATATATATCAACTTTTCATTATCCATTTATTTGAATCTTTTATAAATATTTAACACCAGTGTCTAGTGAGATCATTAGTAAAGAACAGAAGTCAAATTGGTCCTTTGATCGTAGTTATACTGCCTAAATCTAAGGTAAAATAGACCTGTGAACATAATGGGGCCGCAGACACTTCTTTTAGAACATGCAAAAAAGTGGTTGTTTGCTTGCTTGTTTGTTTTTTCAGTGCTGAGGATGGAACCCAGGGCTTTACATATGCTAGGGAAGCATTCTACCACTGAGCTATACCCCCAGCCCCAAGAAGTGTATTAACCAATATGGTATAAAAAATTTTGAGGAAAACCCAGATTGGTCTATTCATTCTTATTTTCCTATTTTTAGTTTTAGTTTTTTGATTTATTTTTCATGGCCAGGGCTTTGCACATGGTAAGCATATGTTCTAGCTCTGAGCTAGTCCTTCATTCCCACTCCTGGCATTTAATTTTGTTGTTGGTGGTGGTAGTTTTGGTTTTGAGTTTTTTGAGACAGGGGTCTTCCTTGGAGCCTCAACTGGCCTGGAACTTGCTATGTAGACCAGGCTGGCCTGGAATATCCCAAAGATCCTCCTGCCTCTGCCTTCTGAGTGTTGGGATTAAAGATGCACGCTACCACACCTGTATAAATTATTTTTAAATTTATTATTGTTGTAGGGGAGGTCATGCACCTACCTACCATGGCGCATGTGGAGGTCAGAGGACAACTCTATCGAGTTGTCTCCTTTCATCTTTATGTGGGTTCCAGAGATCAAACGTGCATCATGAGACTTGTGCAGCAAGCACTTTACCTGCTGAGCCACCTTGCCCGTCTCCTGCCATTAAAAAAAAATAGTTTTGGAGAATTTTTTTCCCAGTGTTAGTCACTTAGAATTATCTTGTATGTGCATAAAGTACTTGTAAAACTGCTGTAGAACTGCTGGGGGTTGGTAGCATCGTTCTCTTTTATAAACCTAGCTGTTCTTGGTGTTTCTTGTTGTTTCTGTAGTACATTGATAGAATAATAGCAATAATATTGCCAGTCACATTTATCTCCTTCCCTCCCTCCTGCTAGGGATTGAACTCAGGGCCTTGTGTCTGCTAAGCAAGTTTTCTATCACTGAACCACATCCTCAGCCTCACTGTCCTATTAATTAGAATATAGACTTTGACCTATTAAAATTTTCTTTGTATGTGGGACTGGAGAGATGGCTCAGGGGTTAAGAGCATTGGCTGCTCTTACAAAGGACCCTGGTTCAGTTCCCAGCACACACATAGCAGCATCAGGGGATTTTAACACCCTCTTCTGGCCTCCTTGAGCACCAGGCACACACATAGTACCCATATATGCATGCAAGCAAACACACAGATAAAATAGAAATAAATCTTTTATTTTTTTAATGTTTGTTGTGTATGATCTACTTGAAGAAAATGGCTTATGTATAGATATACCACTAAAGGATATTTTACAAAATGCTTCCTGTATAGACTTTGGGGAATGTGGAAGATTGAGTGGAAAGCCCTCCTTGTAAAATAGAGCAGTTATTCACAAACACAGAAGGAGTATTAAAAGCTAGCTGTGATGGTACACTCCTGTAATCCCAGCGCTCAGGAGACCGAGGCAGTGGGACTGGGAGTTTGGGCCCAGCCTGGGCTATATAGTGAGTTTTAAGTCAGCCGGGGTTACCTGGTAAGATCTTGTCTCAGAAAAACAAAAATAAATAGATTTTTTTTTTTTAACATAGATGACTACCAGGTGTGGTGGTGCACACCTTTTATCTCAGGATGCAGAGGCAGGTGGATGGATCTCTATGAGACTGAGGCCAGCCTGGTCTACATAACAAATTTTAGGCCAGCTAGGGTTCCTGGGAGACCCTGTCTCCAAAAAGACAAAAAGAAAAGAAAAAAATAAAAGTAAAAAAGACCACCTCCTCATGCAGTTATTAGGCATTTCATTGGGAACCTTAAAGCTATAGCATATATAAACTTTAAAATTGCAACTTCAATTTACAAATGAAGAGGCATAATTTTTGGTAAAATAGGTTCATAAGTTCATGGATCTACCCCTAAGCTTCTACACAGGTGAAACAGAAGAATTTAGCTTTATTTCCACCCTGCCCATGAATAGTGTGTTTCATAGTCAGTAGGAAAGAAAGCTAGTAATACAAGACTTTGCCTCCTAGAATAATAGAAGAGTAGGCCACTAGCACAAGAACATTGGCGTGAGATCAGAAAGGTCTGCATGTGTCCAGGTAGACCATCTTAATGCAGAACCATTGTTCCAGATGTACAGATGCAGTTCTGTGTCTCTTGTCATTCGAGTATGCTTATTTCATTGTTGAAAGCATTGCAGCTATCTCATTGTGCTCGGCCTTGTGTAAGCTCAGTACCTCATTCTATTTTCCTTGTACTCTTGACATAGTTCAGTGGACCAGGGGAGGAGAAGTTGAAACACGCTGCTGCTACATTTTGCAGTAACCAACCTTTTGCTCTGGAAATGATCAAGTCTCGTCAGAAAAAGGATTCTCGATTCCAGACTTTTGTACAAGTGAGTTGTGAGGGGGAAACAAAACAAAACAGGTTTTTAATTAATAGAATAAAGTTCAGGAATTCTGACTTAGATTGATATTTAGAAATATTACATTTATGTTAACATTTTTAAAGCTTTATGTAACCTCTTAAACAACTGGAAAAAGTAGATTATTTGAAAATGATGAAGTAAAAAATACATATCAAGATCGAAATATTTGACATAGATGCCCACACTGCTATAGCAGTTTTAATATTTATTTATTTATTTTTATCTTAATGTATATGAGTGTATTGCCTGCATGTATGTAAGTGTACCCATGTCATGCAATGCTTGAGGAGGTCAGAAGAGGGTGTCAGATTCCTTGGAACTTGAGTTATGAATGATTGTGAGCTGCCATGTGGGTGCTGGGAACCGAACCCGGGTTCTCTGCAAGAGCAGCCAGAGCTCTTAAGTGCTGAGCCGTCTCTCCAGCCCCACTATAGCAGTTTTAATTAGGAGTCATACAGCTTGTGTGTGTGTGTGTGTGTGTGTGTGTGTGTGTGTGTGTGTGTGTGTGTGTAAAATCTAGGCAAGCAGTCTGCCACTGAACTAGGTCCCTAGCTCTTTTTATGTGTTTTGAGATGGGTCTTATTAAGTTGTCCAGGCTAGCTTTTAATTACTCTATAGCCTGTGCTGGCATTGAACTTTAGGTCCTCCTGGCTTAGTCTCTGAATCCCTAGCTGGTATCACAGACCTGTGCCACCAGGCCTAGCTGTATTCATTTTTTTTTTTTTTTTTTTTTTTTTTTAAAAACAGGCTGGCCTCAAACTCACAGAGATCCACCTGCCTCTGCCTCCCAAGTGCTGAGATTAAAGGCATGCGTCACCACGCCTGGCTTGTATTCACTTATTTAAAAAATATTGTTAAGATGGGAGAACGGGTTCATAGCCAGCTTAGGAAGCTGTAACAGCAATTATACTCACTAGAATAGGGCTATACACTAGACAAAGAAGAGTCTAAAGCTATAGGCTATATTCAGTCTGCTTCCTGTTTTTGTAAAGTTTTATTTGGACAAGATGTACTCATTTTCTATTGCTGCATTGTTAAGTGGCAGCCACAGCTTTGTTTTTAAAAATTATCATGTCACGGTTTTGTGGTTTAGGAGTATGATTATGGTCTAGCAGGATTCTTTCCCCTGGACTTTAATCAAAATGAAGGATAGAGCTGCAGTTCTCACCAGAAGCTGGAGAGCATTTTCTAAACTCAGTCATTGATACTAGAATTCATTTTCTTGTAAATGCAAAACCGAGGTATCTGCTGGCATGCTAGTTGTTGGTTAGGACCCAGTTCCAGCTTCTAGAGGATACCCCCATTTCTCTTCATGTAGTCCCCTAGGCAGTTGACTTTTTTCCCTAGGCCAGTAGGAATGCTTCCCTTTGATCCAGGTTTCATTTAAAGCCACCTCTGATCAAGTCAGACCCGCCTGGGACAGCGTCCATTTTTGATTAACTCAAACTTAGGTAACTAATCATAGGATTACTAACCCTTCATCTTAACAGATCCCATTTACACTTCAAGGGGATAGAATTTTACAGGGTAGGTACACCAGATAGTAGGAATCTTGGGGGATACCTTATAGGTTTATATTTTTATTATACAGAGCCATGTTCATTCATTTGTAGATTATCTATGGCTGGTTTTTGCTAAAACAGCAGACTCAAATAGAGAGACTGGCTTAAAGTATGCATTGTCACATTATTGAAAAGTTTACAGACCTGGTATATATGAGCTGACATATCCAGACTAGTGATCTATTGTATCTACTTGGAATAGCAGATAAGTTAAGTGAACATTAGGTGGCAGTGCAAATCAGGAAAATGTTCATAAGTTTTCAAGAAAGGAGAAGGTTAAAGCTATTTTAATACAAAAATGTAATTCTTAGAGTTCATCATAGATGCTGTCAGCCCTTCTTTAAACAGATATCAGAAACCATTGGTTAGGAGATGTAGGCTCTGTTCCATTATTTGGTTAGAGAGGAAGCAGAAGTAGGGTGTGGCAGTGCTTTGTATTCTTCTTTTTAAATCTTGATTTTATAACTAGACCTCTGATTTAATAAGCACTTACGGTGGATACCAGGTACGTATTATGTAGTTATCTGTCCTAATAAGAATCATGAATTGACTTCTTTCACTTTAATTTAGGATGCTGAGAGTAATCCCCTGTGTCGTCGTCTTCAGCTGAAGGATATCATTCCCACCCAAATGCAGAGACTTACTAAGTACCCACTTCTTTTGGATAATATTGCCAAATACACAGGTACAGAATTCTTATTGAAATAAAATAGGGGACTGGCAGGATGGCTCAGCACTTAAGAGCCCTTGCTGCTCTTCCAGAGGTCCGGAGTTCAGATCCTAGCACCTATGTCTGGCTGCTCAGTCACCTGTAGCTCCAGCTCCAAGGGATCTGATGCCCTCATCTGGCCTCAAAGAACACCCGCACACACATTTGCATACTCACACACAGACACATGAATACTTAGAAATTTAAGGAACCAAAACCAAGTAATCTCTCACATCATCCTGGTGCCCAGAATTGGATTTCTACCAGTAGTATGACAAGATTTTTGAACAAGACGCAGTTCAGTTTTTTCAGTCCGTTTGATCTAACATCCTCCATTAGTAGTTCTGGCACAGAATTTGGCATACTGTAGCTCAGGGGCTATAGTAAACTCATTGCCTGTTTCCTGTTTTAAAAAAAAAAATTTTTTTTAAGGCAAGGTTTCATGGAGCCCAGGCTGGTCTTGAACTTGCTGTATAGCTGAGCTGAGGATAACCTGGAACTCCTGATCCTCCTGTCTTCCTTTTTTAGGTGCTTGGGATTATAGACTTGTTCTACTACTCCTGGTTCTCACTGCCTGTTTTTATAAATAAAGTTCTATTGTAGTACAACACAGCCACACCCATCATTTTGCATACTTTTCAAGTGCTTTTGTACTAACCAACAGAGTTGAGGAGTTGGAACAGAGGCCATTTGACCTGCACAGTATACATACAGTAATTATCATCTGACCTTGTATAGGAAAAATTCACTTTTTGTTAAAACAGGGACTCACTATGTGGCTTTGGCTAGCCTAGACCTCAGTATGTAAACCAGGCTGGCCTCAAACTCACAGCCACTTGCCTCTGCCTTGCAAGTGTTGAGATTAAAGGTACCTGCCACCACACCCAGCCTAAATTCACCCATTTTTGTTTTTAGTAAATATATTTGCCTTGAAGAGCTTTAATACTAGGTCTAAAGGATGTTTTGTCTGTGCACAAATTTTTGTGAAGCCAAACCAATGCATTATAATTCCAACTTTCTCACTCTGAAACATGGAATGAATCTGAGTTTCATCACTAGGCTGGCTGTAGAGCTTACGGAGTGAATGAGGCCTACCCCGGGAGTGCAGTTTTATTTAATACATTATATAAAACACCATTCTCAAATCTAGGGTTCTATATTGTGATTTCTTTTTTCTTTCTTTCTTTTTTTCAGTACTGAGGATTGAACTCAGGGGTTTATATATATTAGGCAAGTGCTCTATGACTGATCTACATCTCCAGTCCCTTTTTAAAATTTTTATTTTGAGTTAGGTCTCACTATATAGCTGAGGCTGGCCTCAAGCTTGTGATCCTCCTGCCTCAGTCTCCTAAGTAACCTGTAGCCTCACACTTTGCTCTGTATTCTTTTTATAAATGAAGCATTGGATTTTAACTATTTTGTGTGTTTTGCCTGCATATATGTGCACCTGCGTATAGTGCCTGCAGAGGCCAGAAGAGGGCATCAGATCCTCTGGAACTGGAGTTAAGAACAGTTGTTAGCTACCATGTGGGTGCTGGGAACTGAACTCGGGTCCTCTGCAAGAGCTTCAAGTGCTCTTAACCACTTGCCATCTCTCCAGCCCTGCAAAATGTATGTTTTAAAGTATGATAATCAGAAGTGTCACCTTTTCAGAGACTCCCTGAACTGAGACTTTGCCATAGGTTGCCATAGGTTTTAACATAGTATAAAAATGTTATCAATATTATATATGTTCTGACACTCACTTGAATAGAGTAAAATTGTGTGTGTGTGTGTGTGTGTTTATCATTTTCTCTACTTTCTGTTTTTAATTTCTTCCACATATTTAGAATGGCTACCAGAAAAGGAGAAGGTGAAGAAGGCTGCAGATCACTGTCGACAGATCTTAAATTATGTAAATCAGGCTGTCAAGGAGGCAGAAAACAAGCAGGTAAAAAGAAAGGCAAGATACAGAATGGAATTAGAAAATACTAAATTGGTATTATCTAGAATCTGAAATAAATGAAATATCATTATATAATTGATGAGCAGGATATTTATTAGCTACCATGTAGTACATGGGTCCAGATTGTCAGAGATGTGTCTCTAACTGCCTGTTTGCTCCTCTGCTCTTGAGTTTACTTAACAGGTATTTGTAGTACATGTACTGTATGCTGGACAAAGAGTACCAAGTGCATGAGAAAAATGAATTCAGTGACCCCACACACTGAGCTTGTTTTCTAAAAGCACAAGATTATAGTACATGTGTTTTGTGTGAGTTGTGGTAAGTGTTACAAAGGAATTTCAGGATGCTGCGAGTATCTTATAAGGGGCCTACCCTAGTGTGGAGATGGTAGGTGGTGGCTCTCAGAGAAAGCTTCTTTGAAGAATTGACATTTGAGCCACACATACTCAGAAGGAAAAGCAGAAATGAACCCAGACAGTGTGAAAAGAGCAAGCTAGAGATGCAGAAAGAATATGAATAATCAAAAGATTAGATTAGGATCTAAGCATAAAGCACTTTTTCAACCTTGTTAAAGACTTAGATTTTTGTTCGAAGAGCAGTAGGAATGGACTTTAGTCAAACTGGTCAGTGGAGAGTGGGTTGAAGGAGGAAGATATGGATGTGAGAGCCTAGGTAACAGTTTGTCAGCAGTCCAAAAATCAATGATGGCAGCACAGAGCAAGGCAAGAATTGGATAACTTCTTATACAGTTAGTGGCACTTGTTGACTGATCAGAAGAAGGATGTGAAGAAAGATGATGTCAATAAGAAATACCTAGGTTTCTGGATTGTACCTGTAGACAGACAGGAGGGTTAGAGAAGCCCCAGGCTTGTGGGGAAGATGGGTTCAGTTTGGGGCATCAGGTAGAGATGCATAGGGAGCAGTTTTTGCATGGGCCCAGCTCCAGTAAGACTATAATGAAGATAAGAATGTAATAGTGTAAGCATATAGGAACCATTGCATCTTTGGGCATATTTGTCATTTCTTAGGAACTGAATATGATAACTTTGTTGGTAAGACTGTAGAAAAACTATACTTTCAAATGTGTTGTTTGGAGTTTAAAATGATAAAACTCCAGGAGGAAATTTGGCAGTATCTGTCTAAGTTAAAAGGGTTCATACCAGTACTTCAACCCTTTGGCTTGACAATTTCATTTATAGAGATTTACTGAAGAGAAATGAAGATGTATGCCTACAAACCAACTTATGCATGAATTGTTCAGTAGTAGCCCCAAATGGAAACAGCTCAAGTATTCACCAGGAGGAGAGTGGATAAACCAACTGTGGTATAGTCATAAAATAGAATTTAGAAATGCACCAGTGATAAAAAAAAAAGAATAATCTAATAAACATTATGAAGAATGAAAGAAACCAGACACAAAAGAATACATGCCCATAATTCTATTTACATGAACTTGTAAGAGACTAAACTGATTTGTGATAGGAAAAAAAATAAGACAAAACATTTGCCAGTGGGACATGGGTATAGAGGTGAACTGGGAAGAAGCACAGGGAGACACTCTGGGAGCACACTCATGTTTCATATCTTGGTAGGCATTTGAGTTGCACAAGTGTGTGTTTGTCAGAATTCATGGAAAAATCCACTTAAAACACATGCATTTTACTATGTATAAAATTTGCTTTTTCTTGGGGCTAGAGAGATGGTTCAGCAGTTAAGAGCACTGACTACTCTTGCAGAGGACCTGGGTTCGATTCCCAGCACCCACATGGCAGCTATGAACCATCCTTAACTCCAGTTCCAGGGGAATCCAAAGCCCTCTTCTGACCTCTGTGGCATTGCACAACATGTGTGCACTCACATACGTGCAGACAGTACACTCATACACATAAAATAAAAGTAATAAATATGTTTTTTTAAGTTTACTCTTTCTTAAGAACCATTATTAAGAACTGGCAGGATGGCACCTGCTGCCAAAACTTTACAGCCTGAGATTGATTCCCAGGATCCATGTTGTGGAAGAAGAGCACTGACTATCCCACAAGTTGTCCTCTGACCTCACATGTGTCATGTGTCCGTCCCGTCCCGTCCCCTCCGCCATATACACGAACACAGCAACTCCCATACACACAAGATTTTTTAAAAAAGAAAAGAATCATTAACAAATATTGAACTCATAATGATACACATGCTACAGAACTTAGGAGGGATGAATACTTGGGTCTATGATTATTTGAAATGCATCTAGAAAATTTAATTGAGTTGGATATAGAGATGAAGAAGATAGGTATGTAACAAACAGCAAATATTGATTGTGGGATGTAGGTAGTAGGTATATAGATATTGACATATTAGAAGTCTTTGTATTTGGACATGTTTATTATGTTGAGGAAAAATATATCCTTTGATACAATAGTTCTTTTAGAAATTTAATCTACTTGCCTATCTACATAGGTATATAAAAGTATGGGTTTAAAGCCATTTTATTACAGTATTATTTATTGGCAAACATTGAAAGTAACATAAAAATGCCTGTCAGTGAGGTATAAATTCTAGTGATTCACAGAGTTTGAATACTGTATGGTTATTGATGAAAATGAACACCTCGCTGTGCTAATGTGGAACAATATCCAAGATGCAGTGATGAGTCCCACACACAGAGAAAGAGTATCTTATAAACAGATAAGTCACCATTTAAATGAGGAATGCATGCTGAGAAGCTAGAGGACTGCATATATGAATATAGTGTTCGATCACATCCTGTTTTAAAAGGTTTTATACATGCACAACACAGAGAGACAAACATATACACATACATTCTATTTGCATAGGAGTTTCCTCAAAGGCTAACCAAGAAATAAACATTAGTGATTAGTTCTTTAGAGAAAACAGGCGGTGGGTGGGATTGAAGATGTACTTTTTGTTATACAGATTATAGTATCTTCTGAATTTTGCATGTGTACATGATTTACATACTCATAAACCAGGTGGAAGCTACTTAAAGTCCACTGTTTGGAAAGGAGATGGAGAAGGATGGATGATCAGAGAGGAAGTGGAGACTAGGAAAGTGAATATCACCAAAGACAAGGGATGAGGTGTTCTAAGAAAGAGTGGGTTGTCTTGTCTGGTATTGCAGTGAGCTCAGTAAAATGCAGATTCAAAATGTCCATTTGATTTAGAAACAGAGAGGTTATTGATTCCCAAAGCAGTGACCTTGGCTCCATCCTGTTTCATTTTCAGCGCTTAGAAGATTATCAGCGTCGCCTTGATACCTCCAATCTCAAGTTGTCCGAGTACCCAAATGTCGAAGAGCTCAGGGTGAGAGATGGTCTAATCATAATTAAAAACATAAAGTAAAATGTACTAAAGACCTGGCAGGTAATTAACATCTCAGTGGGAATATCCATCACCTGAAGGAGTTCTGTATCATAGATTGTCTTTATGATTTTGTTCTGCTTTTTAAAATGTCTGATCTGTGTCAAGATTACTTTCATCTTTTATTAGACATTTTGTGAAAAACTAACTTTATGTGGCAGGAATTGGTAGAAGAATCAGGCACTATTATTATTTGTATTTTGCTCTATAGTTTTACAGTTTATTACCACAACTTTTCATATCATAAGTAGATACATTTTCCAGGAGCTCTTGAAAAGCATGAAGGTTGAAACCAGTATAGGAATAGCTAATTATTTACTAATTGCTATTTATACCTGGGATTTTGCATTTTAAAGCTTTTCAGGATTTTAATTTGTCTTTTTAAAAAATACCAGCTCACTGGTTGTTTTGGGGGGGGCAGATGTATTTGGTATCTGTTTAAAATAAACATATACATAGTTTATCATGCTAATATATATATCCTTAATTTCCAAAGAATGAGATTTTTCATTAGAGCTGCTAATGCTAATAAATGGTTCTCTTATTAATAAGTTGCTGACAGAGCACATGGGAGTTAGTACTTGAACTTCTCATAATGAATGCTGTTCATTAAAACCTACTTTGTGGAACTGAAGACATAGTTCAGCAGTTAAGAGTATACTTACTTGCTGCTCTTACAGAGGACTAGAGTTTGGTTCCCAGCTCACACCTCTAACTACAGTTTCAGGGGATCTGACACCCTTTTCTGGCCTTTGTGGGCACCTGCACTCACGTACACATACACACATGCATACAATTAAAAATAAAAAAAATAACTCTATAAAGAAACTTGCTCTGAAATGACAGCCTTAGATCTCAGAAGACTTCTACAGATGAACATACACTGCATGCGTCTCTGCATCTAGTTATTGCAGCTGAGGAATGTGTGGGGATGTAGTTGCTATTTGCAATGCCATTTATAAGCTATCCACTTGGAGTGAGATTTGGAAGGTAATACTCATGAGTGTTTTTCTTAAGATGCTTTTTTTTTCCAGAAGATTTTGTGCAAGCTACTTTAGCATGGACTTTATTCAACTTTCAAGACAAGTAGCAATACAATAGTTGAATGTAAACGATGTCTTTTGTAATAAGACTGTTTTGAAAAGATAAGTAAATTATAACCCTATTGATGAAATATTCTTGGAAATAATTTTTGCATAATTCTTTTTACTTTGGCAGAATTTGGATTTAACAAAAAGAAAGATGATTCATGAAGGCCCATTAGTTTGGAAGGTGAATAGAGACAAAACTATTGGTAAGTCTAATGTTGTCTTTTGGTTTTAGAGAAAATGGAGAGAGGAAAGGAAAGGAAAAGTCTTTATGCCAATGGAAAGAATCATTCACAATTCTCAGCAGTGCTGTTTTTCGTATTTGGATATTTATGGGTCTGTTTGTGTTTTTGTTGTTGTTAAGTGTAAAGCACATTGCATATTCATTTAGGAATGTAGTAGAAAAATTTGTCACGATTTGGCCATGTTTCTACCATTTTTGTTTCCTAATGAATCTCTAATAAGGTTTCTGTAAGCTAGCACCTTTCAAGCTCTCTGCAATGTGAGGCTTTTGCTTTTAAGTAAGTCTCAGATTGATATATCAGCAACAAACACTAAAATGAATTATTAAAAAATAAAATTAAAGAACATAAGTCAAGTTTTGAAATTTGCTGGGTATTCCAGAAATAGTTTTCTTTGCCAAATTATTTTAAATTTCTATATTTAACACTGCCTGCATTTTAATTTCTAGATCTATACACATTGCTGCTGGAAGACATCCTTGTACTGTTGCAAAAGCAAGATGATAGACTGGTGTTAAGGTGTCACAGTAAGATTCTGGCATCTACAGCTGATAGCAAACACACATTCAGTCCTGTCATTAAGCTGAGTACAGTGTTGGTTCGACAAGTGGCAACAGGTGAGTATGTCCACTGAAGGATGCTAACAGTAGATTCACTGCAAAGTTGCCTAACATATCCAGTGTTGTTTATGTAGCATAACTGGCATCAGTAGAGTGTTGTTGCTTTTGTATGCTTAAACAAACTAAATGAAATTTTCCTGCTGTTTAGAAAGTGAATTAAAATTTTATGACTCTAAAATTATTGAAGACAGCTAGATGCTCTGAGTGATCTTCTGCATTTGAAAATTTACATGCAGTTAATTTAGCCTTTATTCCATGTTCAAATTAATGATAGATACCAGGAAAAGTAGTAATTTGAGGGGTGATCCCAATGAGCAGGCTGTCATAAGAATGAAATGGTTATTGTCTTTTAATTTGGTGGGGGGAGAGTATAAACTGAAGAGGTAGGTTTTTTTAAATCAATATAAGTTGGAAAATTACAGTTTATACTATATAGTTAATAAAATCTATAAAACTTTTTAATTTCATGATGGCAAAACAAATTTGTGACCTCTTTTCTGCAATATCCTCTGACTATTCTTGACTGTAGAAAAATAGCCATTTAAAATAGATGCAAAAGAGGGATAGCATTCAACTATATGCACGTGCATATTTATACAAGCATTTTTCTCCCCTAGAATTATAGGCTGATAAAAAGGGACATCTCGGGAAACCACATAATAGGCCTTAATACAAATGACAGAATATATGAACTCCAGTGGGGGGGGGCTATGGGAGGGTGCCAAGGGGGCAGGGAGAATAAAGATGATTTTATGTATGAAATAACACAAAAATTCAATTAAAAATTTAAAAACAAAGAGTTGCAAAGTGCTTTCTACTTGGGCAGGACATAACCTTTCTAAGACAGGACTTTTATGGGGCCAATTTTTTTTTTTAGTTTGAGAATTTCATATATGCATGTAATGTGTCTTGATCAAAGCTACTCCCTTTTCCCATATCTCCTATTCCTATGCTATCCCCTCAACTGCTTTTCCCTCCCAACTTCATGTGTTCTTTATTGTTTTAAACCACTGAGTCCAAGTAATTTAGATTTTTCTTTAACATATTAAGTACAGTGGAATTGGTGTTAACTTTTATAAACTTTAGTGAAGTATAATATACACAGTAAGTTGCATAAAATTCAGTTATAAACTTGATGAATTTTTTTTGAACCGGATGTATGTAACCTCTATCTGATTAAAGTGCAGAATATTAATATCTGAATCTGAAAATATATCATGACTTCCTTGATCACAGTGGAAGAGTGAATTTGGTTTTGTTCTTTTCTAGATAACAAAGCTTTATTCGTCATCTCCATGTCAGATAATGGAGCCCAAATTTATGAATTGGTGGCACAGACAGTTTCTGAAAAGAATGTGTATGTATCATATTTAGTTACCTTGCTTTATATTACTGTCCAAAGTATAATGTTTCACAACTTTGTTTTTATTTTATTTTATTTATTTATTTATTTTTTATTTTTATTTTTTGGTCTGTTTGAGTCAGGATCTCCCTGTATCACCAGCTGATCTAGAACTCGCTGTGTAGACCAGACTGGCCTCAGATTCCCAGAGCCTCTATGCCACCACACCCAACTACAGCTTTGTATTTGTAATAGAACTCTGAAACCCTAAAACTATGTAGACATCAAGGATTTCCTCGGTAGTCTTTTAGAAACATTTCTTTAAAATTTTGTTCCTTTTTTAGATTGATGTTTTTATTTTTATTCTGTTTTATTGAACACAAATTTTCTAAAGAAAAATTCTCAGAAGTGCCAAGTGAATGTGTAAATGGGTAATGTGTTCATGTTTGAATTCTCTTCAAAGAATGTTTTAGACTCTCTGTCAGTATGCTGCCAAAATAAAGATATTCTCTGGCAGAGTGGTGTTTTGTTTTGGCTTTATTCTTTCCTTCTGAGTATATTTAAGGGGTGTTTCTTCTTCCTTTTCTTTCTGTGTTCTGGATTTCTCTCACACCTGAAGCTGGCAGGACCTCATCTGTCGAATGGCTGCGTCTGTGAAGGAGCAGTCCACGAAGCCCATTCCTCTCCCACAGTCGCCCCCTTGCGAGTGAGTGCTGCTTTGTGCTATAGCAGGGTTTCCTTTGTGGCTTTGGTCAGAAAGGAATGAGCAATCCTTTCATTTGAATGCAATGATGTTTGGACACATCCTGAAGCTCAGAGGTGATTTCCTTTTTCTACAGAGGAGACAATGATGAAGAAGAACCACCGAAATTAAAAGTGGAGCACCATGGTATTTCAGTCACTGGTCTACAGAGTCCAGGTAAACTGCACAAATAAGTCGAGGGCCTATAGTCTATTAGCTAATAAAGTGAAGAAACTTTGAAACTGGGTTTATGCAGGTGCTGATATTGTCTATGTGTTTTAACACATGCCACTTATGAGCCTTCTGTGTGCCTATGCAACACTGCTCCAAGTGCTCTGAGTTTTACTCACTGGATGATCCTATAGCTTATGTGGTGCTCCCCACTGCCCCCAAGTATTTCCAGAATGTTTCATGTTGAAAATGAAAAGTTTTGTTAAGGTATGTACTCTCCCTTTTCTGTTCCACTGAACAGACAGAGATTTGGGATTAGAATCTCCCTTAATTTCGTCAAAACCTCAGTCTCATTCACTGAGTACCTCTGGGAAATCAGAAGCAGACCATCTCTTCATCACTGAGACACAGTTTGCAAAGGAGCAGCATGTGAATGGGACACTCAAGGAAGGTGGAGGAAATTATCCAGTAACAATCCTAGATCCACACTTGCCTGTCTCAGAGGAGCGGTGGGCATTGGATGCACTGAGGAATTGTAAGTTTTATTCATAACTATGGAAGATACTAAGTACCAGAATTGTATAATGTATTGTACAGCCTAGGAAGAATAAAGAAAAGTATAAGCTATAACTTTTCCTTTAAGAACTTTATGGTATAGTTAAGAAGATGATAGGAACCCTTGCCTCATTTCACTCCACCCCCCATCTTTTAGAGCGAACATTTAGAGCAATAATGTGCAGGTCTGTCAGACTCTATCTGGGTTGGCATCATTAGAGAAAAAAGCACTAGAGAACAAGAGAGATGGGATTATTGTCTTGAAGAATGAGTAAAATTCAAATAGTTGTCTAGAATAGAACCATTTAGAGAAAAATAATGGCCACAAAATATAGGCAGGATATGATGAGGGTATTCAGAGAGCAGTGAGCAGAACAGTTGGCATGTGTCAACAATTAAGTTAAAGGAGTGTAGGAGATAAAGTTAGAAATCCAGAAGATGACCTGTTGAGTCTCAGGAGATGGGTGGGTCTGAGAACAGTTACTCTAGTTTTAGAGAACCATTTGAGGTTTTAAAGCTAGGTATAGTTAATGAAAACACATTAACCTGGCTGAGAGCTGCTCTAGGATTTTGAATGGAAAGAGGCTGGAGGGGTACACCTACTAAATAAACTATTGTAGTACTTTGAACTCAAGACTGAAAGGATTTATACGTGAAAGCATGAAATAAGTCATGAGTTACCAGATACTTAAAACAATTGACTTGTGTAGGTGTGAGGGTAAAAGAAAGGGAATGTCTAGCAACAATTTCAATGCTCTTGTGAGCAGTAAGAGTCAAACAGACCCTACTCCCTTCCTACCTCCCAGTGCTGTGCTTTTTCCTTTTATTATTTGTCAGAGACTGTGAGTTCCCCCTTTTTAAAACATGTCAAGGTTCAGATGTGTGGCAGACCATTCCAGAGGAACTGATAACAGGAAAGTAGAGTTTTAGAGCTGGCATATTAGGGAAAGATTAATGGGGCAGTGGACATGAGGTGGGGCAAAGAGAGGCAGAGAGACCGAGACAGACTTGAGTGAGCTTTAAGATTAGAAACATTCTCAGGAAGGGAATGTCAAGCAGAAAAAGCAGAGGAGGCTCAGAGCTGAACTACTTACCTAAAGAAATATAGGATAGGCCTGCAGTGGAAGCGAGGAGTTGATGGTTTAAAGTTCTCATTTTCTGCTGAATTGACAAATTTAGTGATTATCTGGTGGTCTGATTGGCATGGTCCTAGAGATGTCATTGTGTGAGTGGCCTCAACAGAAGTTTAACCCCAAAGTTAAATTGGGCCTTACTTTTAACAACCTAAAGAAGCTGTGCCACTAATAAGATAATTTTTAAGAACTAATAAATGCTTTCTTTGAAATTATATATACTACTACCAAATCATTGGAGTTAAAGTTCATTACACTGTTTTATTGCCTTCGCCATGTAGGAAGATTCTTTGAGTTATTATAAATGATAAAATTAATGTTCTACGTATCCAATAAAATGAGACAAAAATAATGCCTATACATATAAAGTCTACTCTTGGAAAGAAAAACATAATGTTTAGCTTTGCTGGCCTTTTAATGGCCTTAGGTACTCTTGGGGGGTGTTTGTCCATTATATAGAAAACAAAGTAGGGCCTGGTGCTGGTATATTTAGGACTTGTTAAAAGGAGTGCCCCCCCCCCCCAATTTGGGATGCTTAACTCTGGTCAGGTAAAATTTAATGTTAAATGTTCTCTAGAAGGCTGAACTTTAAATTTCATTTTTTTTCAAGACAAACAGGTTATATAAGGTGAATGTTCTGGCTTTATGTTATTAGATGGTCTTGGTTTTAGAGGTGGCTGGTAACTCAGCTCACTGATTGCACCTGCAGTCTGAGGCTGTGGTTCTGAGTGTGCTTTTCTTTTTTGTTCTCTTTTCCTGCCCTAAATCTTTAGTGGGTTTGTTGAAGCAATTGCTTGTACAACAGTTAAGTCTGACTGAAAAGAATGCTCAAGAAGACTGGCAGTCCTTCTCAAGATATGGGCCAGCCTCTGAAGAGGTACAGGCAGACAGTGGCATCCAGAACTCTGAAAACATTAGGGCTTACCGTGCTGGTGAAGGACAGATGCCCTTTAAAACTGGAACTGGTGACATTGCAACTTGTTACAGTCCACGGACTTCAACTGAATCTTGTACTGCACAGGATTCAGTGATACTGGCATCCCAAGACAGCCAGGCAAGTAACATTTTAGTAATGGACCACATGATCCTGACCCCAGAGATGCCTACCACAGAGCCAGAAGGGGGTCTGGATGACAGTGGAGAGCACTTTTTTGATGCCCGTGAAGCACATAGTGATGATAATCCATCAGAAGGTGATGGAGCAGTTACAAAGGAAGAGAAGGATGTTAATTTTCGCATCTCAGGCAAGTGTCTTTCACATTTCCACTTTGATCATTAACTGTCTTATATGCTGCAATGGATATTGTTTCAGTGTCTAAGCGTTATGTGTATGGGGGGGTATTATTCTTTCATACAATAAACAGCTATTGAATCTACTTTCCGCCAGACTTCATCACAGGGGCTGGGAGATTGAACAGTGACTAGAATGCAGAAACGCCACTGTTCTTGGGAAACTTAAGTGCCAGTAAGGAAAGAGTAATGGTAAATAAGAAAACAAATGAATAAACCTCAGATGGTAAGAAGCATTAGAAGAAAAGTAAGTCCAGCTACAGCCAGGCAGAGAGTAATGAGAGCAGACACGGTGATCAGGCTAAGCAGCATCCTAAGTGAAGTATAGAGAAAGGCCACGTGGACACCTGGGAACAGTATTCCAGCTGCAAGCATGTGGTGAAGCTGTGAGCCCAGAGAAAGCTTTTGTAGTTAGGGAACACGGGGAGGGGGAGAAAATGACAGAGGAGACCAGGTAAGGATATTTGGCAAGAGAAGTAATAGATCATCATATAAGGACTTTGTAGTTTATAGCTTTAAACTCTAAAATTCTGATTAGTATAAAGCTACTCAAAAATTACCATGAAACTTTGCCAAGGTTGGCTTTAATCTGAAGTGAGAAAATTCTGATGGGCTTAAAATTAAATAGAGAGTTCATAACTCCCTGCATTGTAGTAGTTTTTCAAGTTGTTCAGTGACCCTGTCTCTGTTTTTCTGGTTTCTTGATGGCAATGCTGATATCATCAAATTGTCCTGTCTCCATCAATAGGAAACTGTTTGATCCTTGATGGCTATGATGCAGTGCAGGAGAGCTCCACAGACGAGGAGGTTGCGTCCTCATTCACTCTGCAGCCTGTGCCAGGCATCCCCTCTGTGGACTCTACTCACCAACAACATTCTCCCCAGAATTCTCATTCTGATGGTGCAGTTTCACCATTCACCCCAGAATACCTGGGTCAGCGACGCTGGAGAGCTATGGACGATGCTTGTTTTGAGATCCAGAGTCTCTCTTGTACAGATTCACAAAGCCAAATCATGGAGTACATTCATAAGATAGAGGCTGACCTCGAACACTTAAAGGTACCTCACACTTCAGCCTCCATGGTCCTTGATTCTAAGAACACATTTAGCAGAGTACAAATATGGAGGGACTGAACACTGATGTCCACACACTGGTCCAGGTTCTGCTTCTCTATATTTTCTTTGACCGTTATTCATGACTAACTAGGCCTGGATAAGAACCTGGTATTGACACTGTTTATCTTTCAACAAATCAGAAGACCGGAAATATTGTAACTCTAGCTAGTCATGTATTTGTGTGAATTTCTAAGGTTTTTTTTGTTTGTTTGTTTGTTTTTTTTTGCGAGGAGGGGGGTTGTTTGTATTTTTGTTTTGTTTTTGTTTTTGTTTTTTGGTCTTTTTTGAGACAGGGTCTCCCTTGTAGCCCCAGCTGTCCTGGAACTCAGTATGTAGACCAGGCTGGTCTTGAACTCACAGAGATCTACCTGCCTCTGCCTCCCAAGTGCTGGGATTAAAGGCATGTCGCCACCACAGAATTTATAAGTTTTAAGAACTTAGCAGCGCTTGAGGCAGTTGGCTGGCCTCCATCATGTCAGGGGACATGAAGTGAGCTGGGTGGGGTTACATGATTGTGAGTCCAGGCAAGAAATTCCATGATTTGCTGTAGCCTATTATCTGTGACTCATGAGGTAGTGCTGGTAGCTTCCCAGGAGTGGTGGCAGGTTGAAATTGGCTCCAGTGGCACCTGTAGTCCAAAAACATGGGCATGAATGGAGGTTTTGGGCATGGTGGCGCACGCCTTTAATCCCAGCACTCAGGTGGATCTCTGTGAGTTCAAGGCCAGCCTGGTCTACATAGTTCCAGGACAGCTGGGGCTACAGGGAAATCCTGTCTCAAAAAGACCAAAAAAAAAAGGTCACTTTCTCAAAACTGATGTATGTAGCAGTTTCTTTAAGGGCTCTATTAAAGTTGGCCCTCTGTAGACACAGCTGCTAGAGCCCCCAGACTTTCATCATTTAGTTAGGAGACTAAGACTCATCTCACTTAGTTTTTCTTTTAGCTTCACATAATTCATTTGATTTTCCATAGTATTATCCTGTGATTAATGAGACAGACGATCTAAAAGGGCACTGTAGTTCATCTGTTACATGGTGTGGGGCCATTCAGGGTGACTTCTGGCATGGAAAGATCACCTTTATAGGTTTTCCTAGTCTTTTACATGGGGAAATTTTAAGTCATTCATTCAAAAGAGAAATGGGGAAAATACGTTTGCTGTTCTTCCTCTGTAACAACATCTTTAATCATCAGTGTTAATGTTGAAAATTTGGGAGTGGTACCTGTAATACAAAATGCCTTTGTTTCTATTTTCAACAATTTTTGTTTTATTTTTCTTGTGCTGTCCACATGAACAATCTTTTATTTTACAGAAGGTGGAGGAAAGTTACACCCTTCTTTGCCAAAGGCTGGCTGGCTCAGCCCTCCCTGACAAGCTCTCAGGTATGTGAAATGGTGGCCTCATCCTGCCTGAACAGTACACCCAATAAGTGATTATCATTCAGTGTGGAAACCTTCAGTGATTCCATTTCTTTCCTGTCTTTAAAAACTTCTTGTTTCTAAACATTATATATCAAGCCAAAACTCTTGTTTGCTGACTCTGCTGTCCTTTTCTCAGAAGAGCTGTGGTTGTCAGTTCCGACGCCAGTTCCTCTTCACCTTTTCCAAAGCTGAAGGCAGGGTGGAGGGAGGCCTGGTAAATCATAAATTCGGTAGGACATGTGCTGGTGCTGCTGCAACTCCCCAGTGAAGACAATGTGCCCAAGATACTACCTGCCTCTTGTTACTGAGCCAGTGTCTCCCTGGCTGCAACTAAGCCTGCACTCAGTGCAGTAGCTCACACTCATTTGCTTATGTACTTTGAGGTGACACCTTCAGATTAGAAACAAATAAGACCATGTCTGTAGGTTTCATAGGTTTTGGTGATGTTAATTTGTTCTTAATTGGGTTTCCAAATATCTTCATTCTTCTTAGATAAAAGCTAGAGCCCAGCGTCCTGGAGGTGACTGCAGGTTGTTGGATTTGAGTGTCAGCCTTGTATCAACCACATCCTGGCTCCAGTGCGGATGCAGAGTGTGACAGAGGATCTGCCTGGAAGCACCTGGGCTCAGCCATGCCCCAGGGCCCCAAAACGGGACTAGTTCTTCAGTCTGGCAGCTGTACAAGTCTGTCAGTGAGGGAATGTCTGTTCTCTCACTCTCCTCTCCTCACTATCAGAAATGCATTTTGATTCAGAAAATAAACCAAATGTATAGAGCTTTGGGTGTAGGATATAAAATTGTACTTAGGCATAAGAAAAAGAAAATCAGATGTATTTATTTGACTTCATTCCGTATTTGAAAGCACATTTTAATTTTTACTTTGCTTTGTTTCAGTTGAGTAGGTGAGCATTTTAGCTCTTTGTATTTAGTATACCCAAGAATAATTTGCACCTGAAGCCAAGGTCAGGTGGAGGATGAGGAAGAAGTTGGTGTAGAGGCAATGCAGAAGAGGAAGGGAAGAGTGCCTGGCTTCCACTAACCTGCAGCCCCTGTCTTTCTGGCCAGTGGTCTGAGGATTACCTTAGAGGTGCCCTGTGACCCTTGTGCAGAAGACATGAGTTGTGTGCTGCCCAGGTGGTCAGAGCAAGTGGACTTCCTCCTATCCCAAGGCAAGCACCTCTTCTGTGTAACTGGGTTCCACCCCAATTAACAGGAATCATCATATACTAAATAGCAGGCACTTGAAAATGGGTGTGTTTCCTTCTGTTGTCTTTTCTGTTGATAGTTGGGATTTAGGAGAGAGGAAAACAAATTTTTATTTTCTTGACTATAAATCTGTTATTCTTAGTATTGTTTTATTTGTATAATTATACATTAGACTGGCACTTGTATAAAATCATCCCTGCGATGGAGCAGGAAGTAAGAATAAACAAATGGAAATGCTTTGGTGGGGGGAGGTTGCTAAGGAGGGGTGGGTTAGGGTGGGAGGAGTCTGGAAAGGTTGTCTAAACTGAATCACTACTGAGTTGAACCATGGCTGTCATTAGTCACGGGTACTGCTGATTATAAGGCCAGTAAAATATTAGTACCTGGAGGTTTGACTCTAATTTTTTGCACTGATGGTGCCAAAGGGCTCTTTGAGTCACAAGGAGAGCTGAGGGTGGGCAGAGGAAGATGTAGAAGAGAGCTGCTCACATCACTCCAGAGTGCTTCCTCTGACCTCATGGCCTCAGCCTGTGAGCACAGCACTAGGACTGGCCTTGGGAACAGCAGAGATGTGTGGATAACTACCAAGGTGTTGATGACTGCTGCTTAGGGGTGGATAGCACCTAGAGAGGGCAAGCGAGGCGGAACTGTGACCCGAGAATTTGTCAGTTCTGTTGGCTTTGGGGGGTTTTCTTTGTGCATTAGGTAAACATGCTTTTGGAGTATTTTGTAAAAAAAAAAAAAAAAAATAGTAATCATTTGTCAAATCTAAATTCTGTTAATAAACAAGGAGTTCCCTATTACATCTTTTAGTAGGGCCCCTGTACTCTGGGGGCAGTCAGAATGTAATTCTCCCCTGTAGTGCCCCTCACACATGAAGCTTTTCCTCACCACAATGGTCAGGATTCCCAGCTGCTTTTATGAATACCACTACAACTTAACAAGCTCTTCTCTTCTATTTGGGTCCAGATTCCTGTTTCTGCCTTTTCAAAACTCCTCTATGTTCTTAGGTAGATCAACTTGGGGTCTTTGTACCTCATCTATAAATTGGAGTTATATTTTGAGTGAAAAGCCAAGTAAATTTAACTCAGAATGGGCTTTAAAATTTTTGAAGTAGAATCTAATATATAAGTGAAGTTTGGAATTTGGAACTTTCTGTATCTCTTAGGAGAAGCAAGTAGAAACCAAATGGTTCATCGTGTTGCTGGAAGTGAACAGTCTCTCCCAATAGAAATCAAAGGGTTTATCCCTCTAGCCACATGACACTACAGCTTTCCAATAACTCACCAGGAGAAAAGTGAGTCAGTAGTACTCTCCTCCTAGCTCCAACACTACAGGTCATTCCATAGCTCTCTAGCACTCAAGCAGTTCCACAGTTCACAGGTCCGGAAAGCTTTGGTTTCTCTATTAGCTCAGCCAGAACTTTGTTCTCAGTAATTATTTGCTTTTCTTTTCCTGCAGCTTAACCTCTTTTTGGAACTGTAACAGGGCTAAGTGGAAAATTATCTTGACTATAGCTCTAGTACTCCCAAATATAAATGCATATCTACATTTTCTGATGAAACTTCAGGATGAAGTTAATTTTGAGAAAAAAAATCCCACCTTTTTTAAGAGTTCTTTTTTGAGCTTACCAGCCTTACTTCTTAGCTTTACCCTCCCCTTCCGGCCTCCTGTGCCTTCCATTTCACTTTGGCCACTATAATCACATTCACTTGACCTTCAATTTATGTCATCCTTTCAGGGTAGTGAAATTAGCTGTTCCTCATCCTGAAATGAGATTGGTCATCATCATAGCAGTTTTCTCAAAGTTGAGTGACTAGAAGGAACAGTCTCGTGTACTAAAAGGTACAAGGCAAGGGGAGCAGAACAACCTCTGCAGAGCCAGAAAGCCATGTGAGCTGTGGATGCAACCTATGACACTGCTCTCGTGTGCGAGTCTAATGGCTCTCATGTTATTAAGTGGCGGATTTCATCTAGCATGTCTCCCCTTTTCAGAGAAAAGACAGCCAAATCAACAACCCCTCAAAGTGCTATCATTTAAAATGATGATCATCACCCCAGCCGTATATTTTGTATACTATAAATCTGCTAACTTGGACTGCTGGAGTTATGTTGGCTTTTGAAACCTAAATCGTAGCTATTTATTGTATTGCATGGGAGCTATATTTCATGAGGGTTTTTTCCCCCACATCGTTTTCCTCCCAGACTTCTAATGGCTGCTAGTAAGAATAAATCCCTTTTAGAAATGTTTTACTTCTTTGTCTTTGAAGAAGGGGAGAGGATAAACCTGCCTTTTAGAAGCAAAAGAAAATAATCCTGCCTATGAGCTGTCTTTAACTCTTATGTCTTCTCCTTGACATGGGTAAGTGGCATGGTGCCTGGCACCTGCACTCCCCCTGGAAGCCTCCCGCAGTTGGTGTGGAATATTGTTTAGAGCTACCTGAGCTTTGCTCAGTATTTCTTCCCTATATGCCACAGAGGACACCATAGGCTCTTAAAATACACAGCAAGATCTTATGGAAGTTTCTGTGGCCTCATTTTTTTCCCTCTAGGAGAAAAATTTTGGTTTTATTTTTCTGATTCTTCCACCCCTATTCAGCATAATCTCTAAAATTGTTCTTTTTTCAAGGCCGGAGTTCCTGTTGTTTTGTCACTTTGCCTTCCCCACTAGTACTGAGGTTTTGGATATAAATTGATAGGGAAAAAAGTAAACCTAGAAAAAGACCCTCCCCACCGTTTCCAGGTGCCAACCACAAAGCAGACATACTACAGCAATGGTAACCGTAATGTGCACACTGCTGGTTATTTTTAATAAGCCTCTTCCTACTAGAGCATTTTATTTTCCTCATCCGCCATACAATCATGTACTCTATAACAGAAATTGCTTAAAAGAAATCTGGAACTATCTTTTAAAAAACCTTAATAATAATCATGTATTTTTACTGATCACATTTTGAAATGCCTAAAAGACTTTATTGTTCTAATTATCCAGATGTACCTTTGTAAAATAGCTCTTTTATGAATTAGGTGATAAGGCTGTATGTTTCTGGAACAAAATATTGGTCATCTAAAAACTTTCTGTTTTCTGGGGTCTGGGAAAATAGAAAATAAGAGTTCAAATATTAAATAAGCTTAAAGAACCAAGTATGTGCCTTTTTATTTGTATACATTCTTATTAATTTGTCCTATACAAGTAGTTTGTTTTTTGAGGTAGGGTCTCTTTGTCTCTGGCTGGTCTTGAAACTCCCTATGTAGCTGAGGCTGGCCTTGAACTCCTGGTTCTTCCTGCCTATACCTCCCAAGTGCTGGTTTTCAGGCATTCTAAGATACATTCGGCTTTAAAAGCCACTAATAAAAAGCATAACAAAAATGCTCAGCATTTGGTAGTGTATTTTAGTAAAGCCTTTAGAAATTAGGAATACAAAGTTAACTGTACTCTTAGCTCTCTTAGCACTTGGCCTGTTTTATCTCTGTTCATAAACGTGTGTTTGGTAGAACAGATAACTCTCATACCATTCCCACTCGGTCTTAGCTACCCTTTTTCTAAAAGCACCAGAGTAAATAAGATTCTGTTTGCATATAAGCAGTTACTTGTCCTTTTTTACTTCCTTTTTCATGCCAAATGATTATTTTACCAAATGTTTAATGTTGACTTCAGAAGTAAGAGGTCCGTAGACGGCTGTGGTATACCATAGGCTCTGGCTTCAATCCCCAGTATCTCCAGAAGGAAAGGAATAGTGTCTAATATATAATCAAGGATTGAGATTTCATAAAATTACCAGTTTCCCTGATTCTTGAAGGGCATTCATTCTTCAGGGAGCCTGGCCAAGCTTGCATTTCAGGGGCAGCAGTGAGGAGAGCTGCGACTTCGTGCATTTGGGTGCTGCTGCTTTGATCCATGCCAAGCCCCTAGCAGCTTTACCTGCCAATGTTTCTTGTCACCAGTGCAGAGGTCAACAAGAGGAAAGAGGAAAATAATTCCTTAGTGGTTTTAGAGAAATAATTGTTGACTCCCTTAAAGAGCCTTGAACACCCAAGAAATACATGGGCCACCCAGAGCCACCAGCATTCAGTTCCACCTCCTCAGCCTTATCAAGTGATCTTGGCTTCCTTCTCAGTTTCCATATGAGATATGGAATCAAAAAAATAACAATTTATCATATATTTACAGAAAATTCACCCTTAGGTAACACAAACTATGTAAAAATCATTAAATTTTTACATAGTTCTCTTTCTGGTGAAAAGACAGAAAATCACCAGATTTCATTTGAATACCTTAACTCCCCTTTTTAGGACAAGAGCTTACTCAGCATTTTGAGACTCAGTCTCAAAAACTCAAGTGCAGCAAACAAAAACCATCTGAAAGACAGTAGAACAAGCATGAATAATCAGAACCCATTCTTTAACAAATGTGGTGGCTGGGCTAGGGAGATGGCTCAGTGGCTAAGCACTTGCTGTGCAAGTCTAAGGACCAGAGTCCCAGAACCCATATAAATCAGATGAGCATGGAAGCCATCTTGTGAAAGCCTCAGGCAGTGGAGACAGGATCCCCAGAGCAAGCTGGTTAGCAAGATGAGCTCTATTACTAGCTCTGGGTTTGATTGAGAAACCTTGCCTGAGTGAATAAGATGGAAGATGATTCCTGACATCGACCTCCACATGCACCCACACATTGCAAAAAAATGTGCATGCATGCGTACACCACACACAGAAAAATGGAAAAAAAGTATATAGTGGCTTTAACAGTTTTTTTGTTTTTTATTTTTTTTAGTGTGTGTGTGGGGGGGACGCACACACATACATATGCATAGGCCAAACAACAACCTCAGATGTCACCCTTAGAAACACTGTTCATCTCCTTTGAGACAGAGTCTCTCACTATCCTAGAACTCACCAATTTGGTAGACTGGCTGGCCAACAAGCCTAGGATCCTTTTATCCCTGCCTCCTCAGCACTGCACTGGGATTACAAGCATACATGATCATGCCTGGTTTTTTTATGTCCCAGAACATAATTTATATTTTTAATAATGTAGTAGGTTTTCATTTACACTCGTAATTTAGAATTTGTTGATAGAAATACACACACGTCACTGAAAAAAGTAAATTACAGGTAAGTGCAAATTTAAAGGGTAATTTCATTTTTTAAAATCCAGTTTATGCCAGGCATGATGATGAACATCTTTAAGCCCAGCACTCTGGAGGCAGAGGCAGGCAGGATCTCTGTGATTTTGAGGCTAGCCTGGTCTACATAGAACAGCCAGGGCTACATAGTCAGACCCTGTCTCCCAGAAAAAACAACCAAAAGAAATGGGACTGGAGCTGTCAGTAAAATGCTTGCCTCATAAGCACAAAACTCTGAGCTTAGTTCCCTACTACCCACATGAAAAGCCAGGTGATTTTTATGGTGGAAGATCTGACCTTCCTAGTTCTTGGGAGGCTTGTTGAGCATTGGTGAGGAGGGACTGTGAAGTCCTGTCTCCATTCCAGCTCAGGGCTGGAACAGTAGACTTTTCGAACAAATGTGTGAAATGCAGGGCGTTCTTAGAAGTTGAGTCCCTGGAATGTGAGCTAGCTGGATTGATGAGTTGGCAGGCAAATGTGCCACCATAGAAACTCTCTTGGCCTGAAGAATAAGTCCCTGGGGACTCGGGGGCATTCATGCCATCAAATATTTACAGACTAATAGCTCACATGAGGGGAAAAGATGTGGGACAAACTTCCTCTGTCTTGCCAACTCTTGAAAGTACAAGACAAGTCAAACATTCCCAAGTTGTCTTTTTTCTTTTCCTTAAATTGTTCTTTGGGCAATAAATTCTAACTTGGGTAGTCAGTGACATTCATTCAGCTGTTATACCTGTGGAGCCTAATGTTTGCTCCCTGTGCGGGGTATTTGCATTCTCATGGGAATATGCGGAAAAGGTTCTGGATCTTTAAACATGAGCTATGATTAACATGCTCAATTTTTTTTCTTCATCTCTCTTTGGAGATGTATTGAGCTGACTTGCAATCACGGCTAGGGAGACCCAGGAAATGGAACTAAGAATCCCACTATCTGGAGCCAGAATAGCTTGGCAGCGGTGACTAAAGAGGTCATTGATTAATTGGCTAACTTATTTCCAGCTTTATTCTAGGAAACAAAGTCTTTACAGCAGGAGCTGGGTGTTTGAAGATGGTTTGAAAGAAAAAAGAAAAAGAAAAACAGATCTCAGGGAGAAGATCCTTTGCAGCGTTAGAGCTAGGCTCTGTGATTTTTTTTCCTTTCTTTCAAACTGTCTCTGATGTACCAGTTGCTCAGTTTCCACTGTTACCAGGTCATTGTACCACACTGCTCCGCACTAAACACCTACATAAATGGCTCCTTCCACTCTAATCTGCAATGCACATGGGTACCCATTGCAGTCTCCCAAAGACACGGCTTTCCTCGTGCCTCTTGCCTACTCAAGAGCCTATGCTGGCTCTGCTTATCCCTAATGACGTTCATAATTTATCCAGTCATGTTGTTTCCCTCCGTTCCCAGTCATGAATCCTCTTTGCTGGGAAGAATCAGCCTCCTCCCTGTCTTCCCACCTGGCATCCCAGGCCTGTCTGCTTCTGCTTCTCCCAAAGTCAAGCATACCTCTTCTGCTGGCAAGGCCCTGCCCACCCTTTGCATTTTTTGTCACTAGTGATTGCCCTATGTGCCTGAGTGGCTCTGATTTGCCCTCGTGACCCCACATTTCACTTAGTGGTATATTTTTGAGCACCTGTTCTGTGAGGGGTAATGGAGTCCCATTTTGTAGAGGAGCCAGGCATAAGCATGAAGAGCAACAGCTCCAACTCCAAGTCTAAGCTGCTTCAGATGCTGCCCGCTTTCCACACACCACCTCTCATCTTCATTCAGAAGGTAAGTGGGCTTCTCCCTGTTCACACATGAGGTTACCAAAGCTGGTGGTGATCAAGATACTTCTAATGGAAGATCAAGACTTGTAGAAATAGTTCCTTCATCAAAAGTATTTACAATCTGCTAGGCATTAGTGTACTATACCTGTAACCCCAGCACTCCAGAGGCTGAGGAAGGGGGATCATTGAGTGTGAGGCTAACCTGGGCCACATAGTGACACCACACCTTAGAAAACAAAAATGTTTGCAAGTCAAATGCTTGTCCTACAGGCCAGGCAAGTGGCTCAGTGGATAAAGTGTTTGCTGTTCAAGCATGAGAACCTGAGTTCAGATCCCCAGCACCCATGTGTTAAGGTTCAGATAGCCCCGCCCCCTCACCAATAGAGCCTCAAGGATTTCTCAAGTTCCTGAGAAAAGGGAACCAAGCTGATAAGCACCCTGGTCTTTGGAGTCAAGAGAAGCAGACTTTTCTCCACTGTTTGGCCAAGCAGCAGGCTTCCCCTTTGATCTCTAAAGAGGACAGGTTTTAACAGTCCCATTCTCCCACTGCCCCCTGCCCCAGCTGAAAAAAAAAATACATCTTCCTGCCTTCTGCAGGAAGCAGAAGCCTCTGCCTTTAAAAGACCCCAGCTCAGGACCCGGGGCAGACATTTTCCCTGCCCGGAAGGGAATCTGTCGCATGTGTTCCATTGCTAATAAACTATTCCAGTGGAATTTTATCTGTGTCCTGGTGCTTTCTCCTGATCAACCCTATTTGTCTACAGCTACTTTTTACCTATCACCATGTAAAATGGCGTGGTGTATGTAATCCCAGTGTTGGGAGTGGGATGGGGTGGACAGGTGGGTCCTGGGGTCTTGCTGACCAGCCAGTCTACTCCAAATGGCAATCTCAGTGGAGAGGCTAGTGAGATGATTCAGCTGGTAAAGGCACTTGCTGGGTAAGTCTGATGATCTGAGTTCAGTCCCCAGACTCTACAAAGCTGTTCTCTGGCCTCCATACATGTACTGTGACATTCATGTGCACACATACATCATACACACAATAAGGAAAGTAAAAGATGTTTTAAAGGAAAAGTGCAGGGTAATAGAGGAAGATGCCCAGCATCCACCTCTGCCTCCATACACATGCACACAGGCCAGGTGTGTGCACAGCACATGTGCCCACATGCATACATTCACATGCAAGCACACACAAATACTGTCTTACAAGACAAGTACATGCACACACTTCCCTGCCTTTCTCCCTCCCTCAAAGCTAGGAGG